CAGAATAATGACATACATTAGAATGATGTGAAGTAACTTTACATGTACATCTACACTGTACAAGCAAATAGCGTTCAAGTCTCACCACTTTCTTCAGCATGTTTTGAGTCATTTACTTGAATTTTTTTTGACGAATGAATTCCTAGGGAGAGAGAGGTTGACAGAAAGATTCCCTGCTTGCAGGGGACGTACATGTATACAATGTACATGGTATAAGCCATCCCTAAACTGCTACTTGCGAGTACCTACGGTACATGTACCGGTACTTCTACTCGCGCCAGGACGAGTACTCGAATAGATGAAAAAACATGAGTCAAACATTGAGTAGTAAACTACTCCGAGTTCTGGAGTAATCAAGTTACTCACCCAGCGGTATCTCGTACCAACCTTTATTTGAAAGTAGTCCTCACTAGTATTTTCCCAGTATCAAGCCCAGCATGCAACCGAGCTGCAAAGTGCAACATGTACAGTTCCATTACCCCCACTTCATTAACCCAGCAATCCTCCTGTCAGCTTACAATGGACGAATAACACCATTAATGAGATGCGTTGACCTAATTGGCCGGTTTCCTTTAATCGGGGCATTCAATTTTGGGCCCGAGAGCTCTACGTGTTCTGCATGCGTGCCTTCTAAATGCCCGGCAAACGTTGCTTATTAAATTGCTGTGATTCATTTGAATCTCTGTGGCACATGATCTTAATTACATTGTCACGCTTTCAGTTTTTAAAACACTTGAATTCTAGTAATTGTTTATTCACTTCTTCACTTTAGGTGTCTGTTTTGGGCATATTTACATGTAACTTGGACCTGATGTGTTTAAAAACAAAAAATAAGAATTTGAAAATTGGGATCATGTAGATGGTTTTTTTGGACTACCCAAGTAGTGTGAAATCTCACGTATGAATCACATTGGCAAGCTGGTTTTATGACATATCGGACAAATAAAATATGTGATGCGATCAAGCGAAATGAGTCGTTTGTCGGGAATTTTCATTTGGAGACCTGAGGCCAAAATAGGGCCACTTCATCACATGACTTCATCACATCTCTGGGTGTTCCCAATTCCATAATTGTTTAACTCAATATGGTATCAGCATGCACTTTCACAGCAGTTATGCTGAGATTGTGCTCTTTTCAAATCTGTAAAAAAAAAATTGACCTGGGTCGACAAACGACTCATTTAGCTTGATCGCATCACATGTATAAGCAGAGAAACAAGGGGAAATCTATTGCTCAATTTTAAAATGAAGGCCCAAAAAAATCATGAAATACTTTGGAAGCTGTTTTCTCTGAAAATTTAATATATTTTGTTGTACTCCAACCTCAACCTGAATAGACTTAAAAAAAAAAAATTCATATTAATATTCTTCTTTTTAGAGTATCTTTTTTTATTGGTGCATTACTATAATTTACCCATTGCCTTGGCCTAATGGTGCGTTTGCCGTGAGACAAGTATCGGCCATTGTGAGTTTTTGCGATAAAATCAGATCAGTTTTGTAAAGAATAGTTGGGTAATCCTATAACGAGATTCAGATTCAATCCAATACCTTATCCTGCGTCTTTCCAATTTGATCAGTGGCACGTGTGCGTGAGATCTAATAGCGACATTTCCGCTGGCCTTTTTCCTTTTTTTTTTTTTCCAAGTGAGAATTTGAAGATCTTGAAAACTGAGAGGCAATTAAACATAAAGTGTGGGCAGGAGGGGGTCTATGAAGGGGGAGAAAAAACCAGCACAGAAGAGGCGGCCGGGAGATTACCATGGCAGTGCTAGGGCTTTCCTCACGGCCAATCGGTGGCCGGTTGCAGACCCCCCAGGGTGTATTTATGGCATCTTGGTTGCCGAGGGCGATTCACGCTAATGAAATTGTGAAGTAATTTGGCCCAGGGATGGGCATGGTAGACGATTCGGGCAGAGTTACCATGCAATTCAATAAGTTCACGGCCTGAGCGTGATTGGACGAAACCATTCTGTGACAAAGGGAACTTTGTTTATGTTACCTTGGAAGTCCATGTCCAACCCGGTTTTCTAACCAACTTGCTGAAACAAATGCCCAGCACTTTTGAGATGTTTCCTTGGAAGCGCACGGCCTAAATCTTGCGTCTCAAAAATAAACAGATATTTCCTACAGAAATTGTACCAACTAATTTGTACCGTTCCTACTTTAAATAATGGTATCAACCATTGCCCATCCGCAGTCTGTAAGCTGTAACCATTTGGCACGCGCCATTCAAAGCCCAAGGGGGTAGCAATGATACTTTGTGCCCCATTGGCCCATGGGTGTCTGTCGCTGCAATGCAGAATCAAATTTCTTGAGACAACACAACAATACAAGGACTCGACACTCATGGATTTGTCCATCGTTCTGATACTGATAGTTCTACTACTCATGTTATTGGCGCGTGTACATGTTGGTGAGGACCACAGAAGATATTCAATATATGTGGGAAGAGGTAACCTATAAAATTTGTCATTTTATTTTAGTTTGTCATTTTGTTTTGGTCAGATTCCTTTTTTTGTGTGTAGTGAACCACTACCTGGTTGTTTCAGAAACTATGAAATTACAATGAAAGTAGTGGAATGAGCTTTCACATTTGTCCTGCTTGACCAGATATCACGTGACTCAATTTGATTTTCTTTTAAAATTGCACTAATGTTCACCCAGTTCTCTCTGCAGGTTGTAGGTTTCTCACGCCATCTCAAAACCCACCTTTTCAATTGGTTTTACTCTCGCACATAGTGACTTTCAATATATACAAACACAGTGACTTTTCAATGACCGGCGTCTTTGAATGACTTTTTATTTTTAGACACCGTACTGCGCGCCTTATAAATGCTTTGAATTATTATTTTTATTATTAGATTTAACCATCAAGACACTTTCTGAGCCTGTGTGAGAATTTTACTTTTTTTTCCTTCTGAATACCAGTATTTTTAGGGAGAATTTTTAAAATGAGTGATATGTCTATCAACCAGAAAAAAAAGGAAAAAACAATTTTTAAAGGTAGAGTATATCATTTGCAGCTATCCAAAAAGTAACTGACGAAATTATTTTTGAAAAGCATACTTGGTTTAAAGATAGTTATGGCACTAAACTCTCTGTGAAATTATTCTTTCTGGCATGCTTTAATTTTGAAGAAAATAATAAAATAAGGCCATTTCCAAAGATGCGTCTGAAGACGTATTTTTGGAAATTTCCGTTAGAAGTTCATTTTTAATTTGGCGAAGCCGTGAATGGGTGCGCGGAAGCGTTGGCGTGACGCACACACGCGCGTGATTGCTATAATTCGTCGGTTCAGTGACATTGCGTAGCTGCAATTAGCTGAATGAGAATGTGTACCGGACGCTGATTTCGGGCACAATACAAAACATGACTCGGCAACTTTTGAATTGAAATCGAGATCCTAGAATATTATTTCCCAGAACGTACAGCATTGACTGAGCTAAAACTTCATCAGGTTAGTTGGTAAACACCTGTCTTGAAGAGGTTGTGGAATGCTTGAAGACATTTCCGTCATTTTTTGGGTATATGTAGCCTAAGGTGTGATGAAATAAAAACGACTATTGTGTCTGTCATAAAATGAGTACAAAAGGTACTTTTGAGAGCTGTTTTTCAAGTCCTGTCATGCCTGTTTCGACCCGAACGTGCAATTTGTGTAAAAGTCGTCGTTGCGGGCAGCAAACAAAACACAGTAAATCGTGATGTAATAAACAGGACTCCCGATGCAGAGTAGCATAAACGAGTCCTGTTTATTACGTCAGGATTTACTGTGTTTTGTTTGCTGCCCGCAACGACGACTTTTACACAAATTGCACGTTCGGGTCGAAACAGGACCTGGAAAATAGCTCTCAAAAGTACCCTTTGTACTCATTTCATGACAGAAACAATAGTCGTTTTTATTTCATCACACCTTAGGCTACATATACCCCAAAAATGACGGAAATGTCTTCGAGCATTCCACAACCTCTTTAAGATTTTGAGCACTTTTGTTGCTTCAAATGAAAAAAATGCACAAATGACAAATGATCCACCCTGCCTTGAAAGAAATCATGTTTCCGTCAGAAAATAAAACTGATAAAGGTTTACACTAAACAGTACCTCATGCTTCTGTACGCACACAGCACATCACCAGATCACTAAGACAGGTCATGGCTCTTAATGCAATTACAAAATGGCTGGCGGCATAAAAGAGAGGTATTTAACACTCCGGAGTGGCCACTTGGCAGAAATTTCCCCTCACCCTTTTGAAAAATATAAATAATAAAATCTGGAGTACCAAAATAATATATGGAATTGTGAATTGAATTCCATTTGCCCTTCATCATCATCCAGTCTTGATTTCTTGTCCCCGAAACGATGTTGAGCGAAGGGTCAAGAAGGCATTTCATTTTGTCCTGATGATTGGAAACGGGGCCACCGGGCACAGCTGCACAGAGTGGCCCCCGAATCAGCACGCTTTTGAGGTGCCTGGATGCCAGACCCTGTGGGCAGACGTGAGGATAATGGCGGGAATAAATGCAGCACATGCCCAAGATTATGATTGAAAACAACCCCTGTATCCAGTACTTTAAACATATTTTCAGTGACGCATTCTGACAGTAACTACATGTAGTCTTGTATCCTGTAAACGGTAACTCATTTTGGTCAAGCCATTATGTGCAATCGCTCAGAAAAACAGCCTCAACCTACTGCAGCTGGCAAACTTACTTTGTTGTTCCTTATAAAACGTTTGACGTGACATTTGAGTGATTTTTACACAGGTGAATGAGGTGATGTTCAGTTTAGTATTCGGTGTTTTCCCTCACTGACATTATAAAAAAAACTGCCGTCCAAATATATTCCCTGCAGTACATGCGTGTAAAAAAAAGAGAGTAATCAAAATTGTCTGAATCAACTGACATTTTTTTAATATTTAGAAGAAAATGTGTGTACATGTAGTTCAAATTCAAGATAGATTTTAATAAATCCTTTTTTCTTGCTGAATCTTCTTCTGTTTTCAGTCACAAGCTAGAGCTAGAGTTTGAGGAGAACCACTGCATACGTCGGAACAGACTTCAGCGATACACAGCACACGTGATAACGTGAGTACTAGGTAGCAGTTGTATTTGAAGTGTGCACTAAACTAATTGTGTGTACATTGTGCGCCATTCGCAAGTCACTCAAGAGGAATGCAAATGCTCAGTCTGAAGTGAAGCTGATGTGTCCTTATTAGAAAAATGCGCATGTTCACTACCAGAGGACCGCCGCGGTGCACGAAACCAGTAGAACCCGGTTATTACTTTATTCATAGAATCAGCCGATCCTCGGATTCGATAACGGACCTCTTAGCTGTCCAACCATATCCCTTGCTCCTGAACTCTGCGGGGATAAAAACAAACCCTACCCCAACTGCCTTCAAGGCAGGCAGTCATAGCAAGACACAGCTGAGCTGTCTGCTAAATCCTCCATCTCTAAGATTCACACGAACGAAAACAGTCCCCTCATCACCCGCCCATCGGCAAAAAGTAGAGTGCCAACCTACCCCCCTTCCCCTTTCCCAACAACACACCCCCCCCCCCACCCCCCCCCCCCCCCGCTAGCTCTGTCTAGGATCATCAGCTTAAGGAGTCCGGCATTTATCGGACCCGTCGATATTGACGCGTTTGATGGATCCATACCCCCATCGCAGAATCCAACGCGCCTGGAGACAGTTCAAACGAAGGAAGCTCAAGACAGTTCAGCATCCTGACCCTGATCGTGCCCATAGCAACCAAGGAGGAGGCGAGGAGGGAGGTGATGAGAGGGATGCGAATGGTAACCAGACTGGAGCAGACTGGGGCCTGAGGGAAGGAGAGGGGGACCAGGGAGCAAGACTCCACAGAGTGTTGGATTCTCAATCGGGCTCAGACCACAATTGGGTCTCAACAGACTCAGGTAAGTCAATATAAAACAGGCTTTCAGAGCTACGGCTACGTCTATTGCCAGCAGGGCAATTCCACGGTTACTCACGTTACATTTTTGATGTACTTTTGAGTTTCCTTGGGCTGTAATTACCTTACTGAAAAGATTTAATATGGTAGATAGAGTAAACCTTAACCTACCTAGGCACCAAAGATGACATCTAGAAAAATGTGTTATGTATGATAAACAAGACGCGCAAAATCGGTTACTCACGTAACGAAAAACTTTGGAATTGCCCAGCTTGTAGTTGTAGTGAACCAAGACCTACCGGTAGATCATAGCTCTGGCAAAGAGATTTGGACGAGGCTGTATTTAATCATAGCATCTGATGGTTACATGTATGTCTACATGTGTATGTGTTTAGGTCTGATACTCCACAAGTGTCAGATACATACATGTACATGTACATACCTTAGTGCACCTGTTTGGATGCCATTTCCAGAAAAGGACAGGTTATTAAAGGTCACATTAAAATGTTTCGTTAGCCATATTCAAACTGATAAAGCTGGCGTAGCGAATCTGGCTTACCGGTAGTTTAAAGAGCAAAACATCCTTGTGATTTATTGCTGTGCCAAGTATTTAAATGTAAATCAGAATTTCATGTTAAAAAATTATATCTTGAAATGCCCTTTCTAATTTGAAAGGAAAACAAAAATAAAATTGCATCTGCAGTGGGAGTTAGAGTATGTTATTTGTCCTTTAGCTGTTCAATGTGTACGTGCATCTTTAACCCACTTCTGAGTCATCCAGAGGCATTCAGCATACGCGTTGATGTAGTAGCCGAGTATGTCCAATTACGCCTTGTTTACTTTGTGTTCGCATCAACATATCACGCGATAGATTTTGTTTATCCTATCTCCGCTCCAGTTTACAATGCCCATGTGTCTTCCTGTTCATTGTAATCCATCGCCGTAGTATCCCTCAACCAAAGCTGAAGCAGACGATAAAGAAAGAAAAAAGCCCCTGCCCCTAGGACCCTACAAACGGTCCGCACGGGTCACGCTCGAGCTGAGCCATTCGTGTTGTTTTTACCTAATGTGGTGATTTAAATGTTAAAATTGCGGTCTTCGGCCGCGGACTTTGTTTTAGGGGGAGAGAAATTTCAGCGGGGAGGAAAGGACAGGTTGTTCTCCTTCCATCGCCATGGTGATGTGATGTCACGGGTGGATAATGTTTCATGTGCAGTCTTCTTTTTTCTTCATGACTTGGAGCTCTTTGCCTGGCAGTATATTTCCAGTCAAGTGTTTTATTCTCGCATTTAAGAGGAGACGTGATTCAATTTAGGTTAGAAGTGTAAGTGCGTAAAAGGGCTTTTTGATGTAATTGAAAATAATTTCAGTGTGGCAGTTTAGACAAGAAGTAGAAGAAAAAAATGTGAAAAAGGTTAACGTGTAGATCCGCACTGAATGAATAGTGTGCGTGTACCTGTTGTCTTTTTTTCTTTATTTTTAAATTTCGTGTCACAGCAAAAAGAGCTTTTCTTGGTACTAAAATATGAACACAGGTTACAATGGAACCTGGATTTGTTGTGAAACCTTTTTAGTAAAGTAAGTTTGCAGTTCAAGTTGACTAGAATCAAGTTTTATGTCTATCATTTCAATCGTGGATGTCGTAAATCTACATCAATTATGTTTGATTTCTTGCTGAGTGTGAACATTGTGAACCAGTCTTAGAAACGTGTTGGTTGAGCTCATAGTTCAGCTTAAAATGCATGGCGTCCATTGGAGATGGCAATGATATATATCGGCCCAAACAGCGCATTTTTAAAATTCGGTCTAATTAAAGGCAATTAAATTTGTCGACCAAGAATGAAGGTGCATTTTCTATGAACTTGTAAGTCATTGAACTGTTCCCTACTTTGGTTTGACTTCAAGAATTTGATTGAAAACAAGCAACGGTGTGATGGGGCTCGAACACCTGCCGCCCACTCGGGTATAAATGATGGTCTTTCTTAATAGTCAGAGAAGTGTCAGTAGCCGTACATCATCTGACAAATGGAAACCTGGAATTGATTTAACAAGTTAATTTCAACTTCTGTGATACATCTGGCTTTTTGACACATTTACTTACTTGTTCTTATATCTTTCTCTCCGTCTGGTCAACTGACCAGTCAAGATCTTGTGATGTATTTGTAATCAAACTCACCCAGCTTTTTGTCATTTTCCTACCATCCAGGTATAAGGACTGACAACATCAACATGACGGCAGCACGGCGCTCCAAGGCCCAGCACGCCATGCTGCAGGATCTAGGCAGCAGCGTGGAGCTAGACGACAACCAAGTCTACGAGTCGTCGCCGGAAGTCACCGACAAGAAAAAGAACCGGCTGAGCCTGGCCGAAGAATTCGCAGCCGCCATGGACGAAGACGACGGAATGTCAGGGGACGTTGCTGATTGTGAAGACTCGGACCTGAACGAAAGTGAAATTGAGAGCTCAAGTTGTGCGACCACGCCGGAGTGGGGCGCAGTGGAGAGACAGGACTCTGATTTGATCCTGGAGGTGCCACAAACAGACATCTTAAGAGAGGATCTGAGAAATAAATGTACGCTACACAGCCAAGAGACCAACTCCAGTACTATGCAAGAGACTGGGAATGCTTCGGACCCAAACGAAAACTACAGCGTGGATTCAGACCCCAATGCAAACGACGTCCCCCTCGAGCGCTGTGACCTGACTGGAGATAGGAACCACCAAACAAACTCACAGGTCAGGGGTCAGCCCCAGCGGAATGTTCAGTGCCAGGATGAGGCCTTGATGAGGACTGCTTCCTCTCCCATTAGGACGTCGGGAAGCCACTCTGTGACTCACCCCAAACTCCAGCGCTGTGCCAGCGCCGAGAGCAGGGACTCAGAGTTGACCCGTGGGGTCACAGGCAGCAGACCACAGACGGATCTAGGCTGTGTGGAACCTACCATGCCTGTGCTGGATTGGGAATCGTTGGAGAAACACTTGGCCAAGATGGAAAAGGAAGAGGAGCAGCTGAACTATAAACAGGTGAAACAAGAAACCCAAGAATAACCATTTCCTCTTTATATTAAGCAATACAAGTGTGTTACCCATCCCAAAACTAATCAATATCCTACACTTGTTTGACTTGATTTTGATTGAATACAGCACTGTTGATCCCAACTACATGTACGTGTACATGGGGTTTGATGTTCAAATTTTGTGTAAAGAATGTTGATGGTAAATTTTTACAAAAAGGTAGGTAACTGCTCAATAACGGTTTTCTAAGTGATACATTTCATTTAAATATAACAGGTATGAGTTGACTAGATTGAAATATGTGAATTATAAAGTGATTGTTGAAATTATTTGCTTAAATTTTTGAAATGCCCAAAGTTGATGACAATTCCTCGCATTTAATTCTCTAAAAATTCACGATTTGAAAGGAATTCGTAATCATCTTGCAAAAAAACGTCTGGTTGGTCCTCCCCAGACCCAGAAGCACTCGCGGCAGGCAATCCTGCGCAAGCTGGCCATGGGTACGGACGACGAGGCCGAGGGCGACATTTACGGCAAGAGCAAAGACAAGCTGTCCACCCGCTTGCAGAGCGGGATGAACCTGCAGATCTGCTTCGTCAACGAGCCCGTGGACGGCTCGGATCTTGAAGAGGACAGTCCCAGGATCCTGGCAGCTGAGGAGAATCTGAGGAAGGAGTCGCACGTTGCGAATCGATTTGGGAGGGTGACGGGTGCGAGTAGGCTGGGAGGGGCCGGAATCCGACTGAGTAGGGAGAGCAGTAATACTAGCGCAACCTCACCCAAGGTATCTATGCATTTACAGTGTCAAAGCTTTTTAATTTTTGATATTTTTTAATATTTGAAAAATATCGTAGACTATGTAAGGCCAAACAAAATAATAGTTCTGCTGCCCATTCCCTACCCACCCTATTTTGACAGCTCCTACCCTAATTTTTTTTTTGGGGGGGGGAATGAGGGAAAAAAAAAACGAAAACCATCAATTACTACCTTTTATCCTTGACTACACGCCGACACCGCCAGATCGTACACACACAAAATTCCTACCCTCCCAAAATTTTTTTTCGTATCTACCTACCGTACATGTACCCTATTTTCAAATGCCATGTAATCGGAAGCAGATTTTGTTTTTTGGCCTAAGGTGCATAGATACATCACAGCCTGAAAAGTCGTAACACTCTGATGCCGACATTCTTTAATCACCGTAACTCATAAGCACCTGCAATACACTTATGACAGTTTATCTTTTTGTTTTCCTGATGAGCCCATAAAATCCTACAATGCTGGGGAATTACAGGGAAGAACAGACATTGAAGTAAAGGGTTAATAATGAAAGAAATCAGTGCTGAATAGATTTGAGCTACATGTAATATACTGTAATAATTTGTTGTCATCTCCAATTGGCACCATATGGAGCTAGTATAGTACAAATCCGGTGGCAGCCATTTTCTGCATTGGTGCAAGGTACGGGCGAGTCGTGCTCAGGTAGGGCGTGTGTGCTTCGTGCTCTTTCGTCCAATAGGAGTACCAAAATGCAAGTGCCCCTCGTCTTGAAGAACACATGCAGCATGTGCGCGAGCGTGACACCACAGCAGTAAAAGCTTCTTATTCTGGTCGCTGGATTCCACTACATGTATACATGTACATACATCAGTTCACAATTCAAAAAAGTTCAAAAGAAATATGAAAAGATATCTTCTCCCTCTGTAACTTTTTCTCTATACTTTCCTTAGTAGCCCACACCTTAAGTGGTCTCTGGCCTTGTGATGGGCGATTCCCATTAACAAAAAAACTCAAAAAACGAAGGACACGACATTCCACAAAGGTTGCCCTTCACTGAATGCTGACTTTTTTTCTGGAGCATGCGCTGGCACTCGATTCTGTTCGAGTTCTATGGCTGTCATTTTTTGTTCTTCAATTTTTTAACAATTCAACATTGTCTTTCTCAAGGCTCCGTCGGTCACCTTCCAAGACGCGGAGGATTTTGAGACTCAGCAGGCCCGTCTTCAAGACGAGGCTCGGGTAGCTCTGGCCCGGGCCGAGCCGCTGGCCAGAATGCAGATGGAGCTGGAGAGACAACAACGGAAAAAGTCACCGGTAACGGAATTGGTGAGGGTAGACTAACACTAACACTAACACACTAACTAAGACTGTGACTCTGTGTTGAATGATCTGAAAGTTCAACCCGTTCTCCCACTTTTAAATATTTCGTGCTAATTCGGGCGATTCACAATGCAGAGCGCCACCAATAGTTTGCCACGGAGAGTTCATTTTTCCCAGTGCACTGTGGGAGATGGTCGACAAATTCGCAGCGCGGGACGTTTGAAATTGTTCGTTTTTTCCGGTCAGTAGTTTCGTAAATGTGTGCTTCGAGTATATGTTTGCCCTTTTCTTTTCTTTGTATCAATATGGTGATTTTTGGTAAGGCAGCAGAACGCTATGCCCCTATCTATAGCAAATTAGCTCAAGTGTCTACTGACACTCATTCACATGGGCCATATTTTGTCGACAGTTAACTTGAAAAGTTGGCTCTCCATGGCAAACTCTTGGTGGCGCACTGCATTGTGAATCGCCCGAATTCATGTAACCCCTGAAAGTCACTTTCCAGGCATGAGATTTTTCGGACTTTTTGTCTGAAACCAGACTTTTTGAACTGAGAGAAAGACATTGTAAGTATAGGAAGAAATGCATCTTTCAGAACTTTCAACCAATTTTCAGATTTCTTTTCAAATTGACCATCTCATCCCTGACTTTCGTTAACGAGGATCTCTGCTGTATGTGGAGTATGTGGAGGCGTATCGTGTGTTCATCTTGAATTGGCTGCTGTGCACGGCCTATTGTTCTACAATTTACGTGTACACTCCGTTCCACACCCCGGAGTGTTGAAAAATATGAGGTTTCGGCAAGAAATGTCGTTGAAATGACTCTTGCGAATCAGTATTTGTGGCATTTGGCTGTTTGTCAGAAGTTGGCTGCTATATTTTGCCTTTTTTTTAAAATCGAAATTTTCGGCAAAAAATAATCCCGTCCTGAAGTGGTGAAACGACAACTTTTTTTACACTGTGAGTGACGCTTTATTTTGTTTTAGGCTGGAGTGTCGGGCATGACGGACATCTGCGACAGACTCTACGGCAAGAAGCTGACACAGCGGGCACTCAGGAACATGTCCCTCAGCAAACTACAGTTTGTGGTCAACGACCTGCACTCGCAGATCGAAAGTAAGTCCGTCCATTTGTCACGGAGGAAAACATATGGCGGGAGAGGCATGCAAATGCAACACTTGAGGGACTAGTGTTAGCAATGGTGCATTCTTGTATAAAGAGCTGTGTGTTTTTTGTTTGGTTTGGAATTTTGTGTGTGCGTGCTCGAGGCATGGTTGAGGGTAGCAACTTGTAGGTGATGGAAACTTTCAAGATAAGTGAAGTCGACAAACCTTGGAGACATTACCCTCTGATCTGTGGCGAGTAAGCCAAAATATTCATTCAAATTTATGATTTAAAATAAATAAGCTGTTAGGATGAACTTCCCCCAGGCTTTACGTATACATGTATACGTTTCAACATTTCAGAGTGAAAGAGAACAAAGTTTTCCACTTCATTTTTCGCTTCATTTTGATATTATTTTTAAAATGTTTTGTGATCACGAAATCTGAGATCTGAACTGCCTCTCCAAAGAATCGTTCCTGGACAAAAGGAACCCATCGCCCACTCGCAGTCCGACACAAAATCACACTGACAGTGGCGCAAGAGGGGAAAAAGTAATTTGTTTTCTTGCCCCGTATAATTCACCCAGTTTATTTCCTCCGTTTTCTTGTTTGTGTGTGTGTGGAAATGCCAGGCCTTGCCTAGGGCTTGTTTTCATTTGCCCAGCGACGGCAGACTCTATCGGCAAATCTCCCGTCACAAGATTACCGCCTAGAGTTGGAGCGTGTCACTGTCACCGCACAGATCATTACGGGCACCGCGGTTGCCGCTGTACTTTAATTCACCTCCAATTAGGAACATGTTTAAGGAAAAATGAGCTCATCTGCTAATATGTCCCAAGCGCTCGGTCTCTGGATCATGGATCAATAAGCTTCTCTGCATCATGAATTAATGAGCTTTGCTTTCCACAGAAGCATCAGTAATGTTTCTTCTGTGGAGGACGCCACCTTAAAGGTGTTATAATTACTATCTTAGTTGGAGATAGTGGGATTATTACTGGTTTAATTAATTAACCGTCGCTTAAGTGGGCAAGGTGGGTTGACACCTGCTACGAATGTTTCACACCTTGACTTCGCCCATCTGGATTCATGTCACACTCTGCTTTGGAATTTATGGATCGGGGGTTCATCTTGCTGGCTTGACTATTGTAAGGAAAACATTTACCAAAACAAGAAGTTCTCCAATGAAAGAAGAGTTTGAGATTTCAGACTCTTGGAGGGTAATTTGTCTCGACCTCTGAGCCCAACATTACCTGATCAATTTATTTGTGGAGGAATGTGGGCCATGCAAAATAGTAGCACAGGCATGCAACTCATCCTCGGATCAGCTGATAAATCGTTTTTTCCCCCACTTCTCTTGTACATGTATGCCATTAAAAATTGAAAAACACTTCAGTGAGTCGTGTAAAGCTTGGAATTCCCTTTTTTATGACTTCCCGAGTCGCAGTGATGCTGCAACCCTTGAAAATGTAACCGGGCATCAGTCAGGCCCATCTGCAGAACTTGGCAACAGCTTATGGCTTGCAATTACACATGCACATGTACCTATGGAAGCGGCTGAAGACATGTGTGTGAGTCTGCTAAGTATTTTGGATGCGACTTCAGTTTCCAATTGTGTTGTTTTTTTTGTCCAGGTCTGAACGAAGAGCTGGTCCAGCTGTTGATCCGTCGAGATGAGCTTCAGATGGAGCAAGACTCCAAACTGATTGACATCGAAGACCTGACGAGGTGGATCCGCATGAGTGAGTCACAACCTTGAGATTGCATCACCTGATATCCAACAGTTACCATGGCAACCTACTCACACCACTCAAAGAGCATCTCATTTTGGTCTTCCTCCAATATTTCTTAATCCAGCACAAAATGCAATAGTAACTGAGAATTCCACATTTAACCCCTTAAGCACGGGTTATAATGGGGACATTCCTCCACACATAGAGCAAGTGGCCCGCATGACTGCACAGCCTTTGTGTGGTAGCGGGACTGCACAAAAGCAGCAGCTGTGGAACTACCCACTAGCCGTGTGCCACGGCATACCACAGCTGGCAACTGCATTCCAATGAGGATTAGCGGCCGCGGCCATGACCGCTTCCCGAGCTCATGGGGTTAAGAACTCAATATGCATGTAATTTGTTAGACAGTAACATGCTGAAATTAGATGTTCGAGACGTTTTGAAAGGTGTGATGAGGTGGACCAAGCAGTGCCTTCAGTGTTCAGTGTTAAACAATTTTTATGAATCCCCATCCACTCAGAATTGTACTTATTTGAAATGTTTGTGTAAATTGTGATATTTCAAATTACTAAAAAAACAAAGCCTGTCACTGAAATTGTGTAACTTTTATTTTGATGACGGCATAATTTGTGACTGTGTTGTCATAATTGTAAGCTGTGGCAAAGTGAACATTTTTTTTTTTTTTTTGCCTTTTTGTGGACAAAAGTGTCTCCTACCTTTTGCTGTTTCTTGCCTTTTAAATCTTATTATCACTCTGAAAGACAAAATTTGCAAATCACTGGCTACAATCTGTGTCTTTGATTTTGCATGAAAAATGTCAGTTTCACAAAGTGTAATTTTTTTATCTTTATAAACTGCAGTAAATAGGATATTTTTTTTTCTAATTGTGGAAAACAACTCTTTTGGTAGTGATCGAAACTCCAAACTTTTTATAACAGATAACCCAAAATACAGTCAATATAACTTGTCTGCTCCCCAAATATACAGACACAAATTTTGATGGTTTTTTTTGGTTGACAAATCAGCCTTTCTTCCTGTGGCACTAAATCTGTTAGTACTCAGCTGATGCAATGTCATTGGTGTACGATGTATGCAAGGTACCAGGCAAAAATCTCAGTCAGCCAATGAACGCTCAAAGCTTTCTTGAATTACAACTTAGCTCCTAAATTTCTACCTTTTTAAAATATATTTGTATCACCCACTCTTAGCACCAAGCTAATCAGGTTAAAATCTTGTAAAAAAAAAAAGTCTTAATATTGCAAAGAAACTACCAAATCCGAATTAATTTTTTTCCAGCACATTTTTGTTTGTGTCGAGTTTGCATACATCTATACCCTGTGGCGATATGTACATAATCTGTGAGATATTCATGTTTATATGTGCACAATTATGATTTTTCCATTTTTGCTACCTTGGATTTGTCATGTTTGTCAATTGTTCTTTTCTATTGTGCATGTTTTCATTTTGTGCAGTTTTCTCTCTTTCCCAATGTTAGTTTGATTTTCAATTTTCTTTTCAAAATTTTCAAAGTACAACTTGAATTACTGTTAACTCTGTCACATAAAGTAAAGTCTGTCACGAGCCAATGTGGCCCATCATTTATCTCCGGTTTCATTAGCATGAAATGACTGAGAATATTTCTACTCCCCTGGATGGGATGCTAGTCCATCGCAGGTTACTCCCCAGCTAATGCCGGTACTCATTTATACTCCTGGGTGGAGAAACTAAGGCAAGTGGGGTGAAGTGGCTTGCCCAAGGACACAACATATGGCCAGCGGCTGGATTCAAACCCCTGACCTTCTGATCACGAGTCACAAACCCTAACCACTGGGACACACTCCTTGTAAAGAGGGAAGAAAGAGACTTGTATAAAATTGTCCAAAAACTGTGGTCCCTTCTGGAAGGTACGGGTCCTTTGCCTAGCAACTTTATTAGAACTAAATGAAACCATGTGCTGTGCATTACCATTTTTTATTCAGTAACATTAATTTTCTTGAACATTCTATGTAAGATTCTTATTCTTTTAGATGATGTTATACTTCACATTTAATCACCGTCCAGTTCTGTTTAAAAAAAATAATTTAAAACAAATTTTATCTATAAAAAAGTATTGGTTTTAGTAATCTAGACTAGTGTCATGTAAAAAATAAATGGAGCTTTTTTTATTTATGAAATAAATGTAAACCATTTTACGACAGCTTTCAGCTGTTTAATCACTAAATGTACGTACCTCAAGTTGAAAGAAATTATTTCTCAGGGACATTCTGTTTCAGTTTGCATGCTGTCCTTCACTAAAATAATCCGTCCGCTCCGAGTGCGTAATGTCTTTGTAAACGAAATGGGGAAATCCCTACTTTGCTTTGTGTGGTTTAACAACACAGCGCTGTAGACAATGCATTGTTTCAATTTTGCATGTTGTTTTGCATGTTGTTTCCCAGTTTGCTTGTCAAACTTTCGTTTTCACAGAGCTGCTCAGTTTGAAAGCTTCGCATTCTTTTATGATCAAATTTATGCAAATTCTTGCGAAGAATTGCCTTGGTTAACAGTTGTCCACACACCTTAGGGACAATTAATGTAAGAACATGGTAGTTGTTTTAAAGCTATAGTCCATCATTTGCAGCCATCCGAAAAGTAACTGGCGTAATTATTGTTGAAAAACATACTTGGTTGAAAGATAGCAAGGGGACTAAACTCCCTGTGAAATTATTCTTTCTGGCAAACTGTCATTTTGAAGTAATCAACAAAAGAAGGCCTTTCAAACGGTGCGTCTTAAGACGCACCGTAGGAAAATTTAAATTAGTAGTTCGTTTTGTTATTCGGCGAAGTGCGCGCAAGCATTAGCAAGACGCACACGCACGCGCGGTTGCTATAATTCGTCGGATCAGTGCGCGACATCGCGTATAGCTGCAATCGGCTCAGTGAGAACGCGTCTTGGACGCTGAATTCAGGCCCAATTCAAAACATGATTCAGCAACTTTTGATTTGAAAATGAGATCCTAGAATGCTGTTTTTCTCAGAATATACAGCTGAAGCTGAGCTGAAACTTCATCAGGTTAGTTGTTCAGTATCCTTCATTAGATTTTGAACACTTTTGTTGCTTCAAACGAACAAAATGCACAAATTACAAATGATGGACTATATCTTTAAATAACAGCTTTTCCAACGCTGTAGTCCAGACTGGTTGTTCTTGCAAGTCACAGTGATCACATGCTTTAGTGGATAACTTGTAAAAGAGAGTGCTTTTTCTCAGTGGTAAGTGGGATGATCTTTGTAGTATTGAGGCTCAGAATGGATGCTAGTTTTCATTTCAAGCGTTGCATGTTGGTGGCCTTTCTTCTTTCCAGGGGCCAATTTCAAAGAGCTGCTTAAGCACAAAATTTGCTTAAGCACAAAAACGTCTTGCTTAATAAAATCAGGTTACCGGCCAAAACTCCATGCAATTGTTATGCTAAGTAAACAACCGCTAAATACCAGTCACAAGCAATGTACATCGCATGGAGTTTTGGCCGGTAACCTAATTTTACTAAGCAATGTTTTTTCGTGCTTAAGCAAATTTTGTGCTTAAGCAGCTCTATGAAATTGGGCCCTGGTTGTGGATCGAGCCTACATTTGTGTGCATGTTGCTTGTGTCATTTTGCCATGGTTACACTTAACAATCACATACTAACCAAGTACTAATTGTAGTCGGTACCCGCTGCACCCTCCTCACAGACATGCAACAGAACAACAACAACAATACCATCATCGGCAAACAGCCGCTGGAAAACGGCCGTAAGCGCCAGTACGAGACCCTCCTGAAACTCTTGGGCAGCACCCTGCCCGTCAGCAGGAAGTGCTTCTGTGGTCTGAGTCGGAGTTCGTCGGTGGTGTCCAGTCGGTCAGCGTCAAGTCCTGAAATCCAAGAGATGGCGTCCAGTCCTCTCAGTCCACAGACGTCCATCTGTCGGTCAGCGTCCAGTATGAGCATCAATGAGAGTAGAGCGTCCAGTCCTGAAATGACGTGGGTCCGGCAAGCCATGATTAAATACTGGTACAACTGACAGGTTGACCTTTGAACTCTGACCCAACAGAGTGACCCTTGATGGAGGTCAGTTCAACAGGACTGACTTGGTCAAGTTATAAATAATGTAAATAAATAGTACAAAATGATAAAAAAAACCTTGCTCCTATCGCTGTAATAACATTACATCGGTCGGCTCCATACGACCGCAGATAAATGCACATGACCTGGGTCATCTGAACATGACCTTCGACACATCTCTTGTGGTTGCATCTGAGGACGTGAAGTAAAAAAATTGGAGATAAATATGTACATAAGGCCAAAAAAAAAATAAGTCGGTCTCTGGTCAGCGCGCGCGTCGATTTTAATCATGCGCGTCTATCTTTTTTTTTCCCAAAATGTTCCGTGGTAGCTCCAACGGCGCCCTCTATTTCCGCACCTCCTCAATTTTTTTTACCAAAGAGCACCAAGGAATGGGAAATTGCACCAAGGCAAATGATCGAAAGCACCAAGGCAAATTATGGAGGACACCAATGTACATGAGGACACCAAAAAAGCAAAATAGTACCTACCTTGTCTGTACAATCCAGGCTTGAAGAAAAAAAAAAAAGCAAAAAAAAAAAAAAAGCCGCGTGGCCGCGTCAATTCCGGAACTTTGGTCTGACCAGAGACCGAATATTTTTTTTTTTTGGCCTAACATTTCCAATTAGTTTTTTTTACACCAACGTTTTTTTCCTGAAAGTGCAGTCTGTTAAAAAATAGACACAATGCAATTTGACAAATTTGTCATATTTTTTTCTTTGCACCCCCTCCCTGAATTAAAAATGTTACTCTGCTTTAAGCTGAGCAGAGTGTAAAGATGTAGATACAACTGGAATTATATGAATGAATATTGGTAGCTGAGTATATGCTGTATATGGGAATCAACGGCTTGGTATGCAGTTTTTATATGAATTTATTTTTTGAAAGCAGAATTATCTGGTAGTTTCTTCAGCTGTCACGATTGTGCTAGTAACTAAAATGGTGGGCATTGGAATGATTGATTCTTTTGTGGGAATGTCATTTCCACAGAAACTACGGAGGCAACAAGCAAATGCGGCATATAATATAGGTTCTAGTCATTCCAGGTTCAAAAGATTACATGTACGGTTTGGTGGTCAAAAAGTTCACTACGAAACTGGCATGCGAGGGATGATCCCATTGAATGTCAGATTTTTTTTGTTATGCCACCAAATGCTTGTTGTCACATCTCAAAATAAGCATACTTTCAGATATTTTTTCAGCTCTGCAAGGATGGCATCTTGTGACCTTTGACCTTTAGGTATCTTGCCATTGTCTAACTTTTCTTGCAGTGGCAGCACTGTATCTGCTGCGAATTTGGCAATTGCTGTACAGGCAGCGCGTAATAGCATGTTCAATAACTTACTGCTGATGCTATTTGGAAGATGTGCACATCATGCTGCGTGTAATAATCCTAACATTAGTTTCGGTTATGCACCATCATGGCTCGCGTTCTATGCTGTCATTTTTAATATTTATTGGGGGGAAAATATTGCAGTTTACTCGGGGGCCGTTTGCACCAGTTGCGTGCGCTCGACTGTACATTCAGCTGTAGTCCAACAACAGAAATGCTGTGTAGCATAGTGTCAACTATATTTCCTCGATTATTTCAATTTTGTCTTCCATGAAATCTTATGTAGATTTACGTTGTGTAAATAAGAAAGAACTAAAAAAAGTGTATCATATTCTTCCTGTGTTCAGAATCACCCATCGATAATTTGAAATGCTTAAAATGCTTGTTACTTTCTTCTTTTTTTTGGTATTTAAGCATGGGTCACTTAAGTTGGACTGCACAGCCATTGAATTGTGCAGGATAGGATAAAGGATAGGATAAAGTGGGTACACTGCAAAAACTGTAGTGTTAATTTAACGCCATTTGGTATCTATATAGGACAACACCAGTAAAACTTAACACCAGATGGTCCTATATAGATACCGATGGTGTAAATTTAACACTGCAGTTTTTGCAGCGTACAGGAGGCAGAAACAGCCCAGTATTTGATCAACTCTAACAAGTCCTCGTGCAACTCTGTTTTTTTTCCTAATTACGCAAGGTTTCGGTCTTTTTTAATCACTTTTTTTTACCGACTGTGATCTTATTATAACTTTAAATTGGCATCTCAAAATAAACTGCATTTGACTATTGAGTCAAGCTTACTCATTCTCATGCACATTATAACTACATGTATCATGTTTAACATCATTCTATGTCCATTGACTGACAAAAACCTCTTTGAATCGTTAAGTTGAGGTCATCATTAACAGGAACATTCTTTCAACTGTTAGAGGTTGAGGTGTTATCAAAGTTGGTCAAATGCAATCTTTTGTGCATTTTCATGTTTCCTTCGCTTCGTTTTGCACCCCTACACCATTGGGTGCATAAAATTATAACTTCAAATTCTGGTTAATTCTGGTTATTAATACATCTCTAATTATATTTGTCATCCCAACGTAATATGTACCAATTCGAATCCAAACACAACTCAACTGGCAATTTTTGTAAAGTTTGCGTGTCTGCATCGGTTCCTATCCAAAACGTCATACCATGTGACACGTGACCCGCTATTGGTGGTGACATTTGACCTTTGGCATCTCAACTATAATTGAAGTGTGTCTGTCATTGATCTGTAAATAAAGTGTATATAAATACACACATATACGACCCATTTGGTTTATTTTTATATTACTTTGGAGACACTTCAGTGTATAACTTGTACCAGCATCATTAGTTGATAGCAACTGCTTTCGGGTCAGCTGATGTTGAATAGGTATAGCCTGTGAGGGCCCATTGGGTTGTGTAGTAGTTGTATTTTTTTCACGCTAATCAATTGTCGCCTGTGCCAAATTTTAAACAAAGATCTTATCAGAATGGTTTTATTTGAAAAAAAAATGATACTGTGCCACTAAAGGAATCTTCTCCGACTTTTTTCTATGGAGGAAAATCTTTTGGTATAAAAATGGATAGAAATTACCATAGCTCAGAACTATTGATTAGTTTCTCATTGAACAGGTGGATTTAAAGATATCACCTGTCATTTTTTTGTCGAATTTGTATCTCCTTGATCAAAGCCGTATACTATTTATGACCTGATGATTATTCTTAATATACGCATGTAAAACCTATTTTATCCAAAAATGCATTGTATGTCCCGAAAGTGTGCTATTCTTATATACCTTTTCCCAGTTTCAAACAAAACGTTATCCACCGACAGAAATAAGATTGTATGAAATTGAACTGAATTCCAGATTTAAGCTGAGATTATTATATTATTAAAAAGGCTTAAAAGCGTATTTCACCCTTAACTTTTTCTAATGAAAAAAAAAACCAGTTGAATGTCATAATTATTCTCGTGTATTCCGACATCGTTTTCTGATTTGAAGATGTCATAAAAGTCTCATCACTGTGCGGTTCAACCAACCCGGTAATTCTTGAATAAAAAAATCACCCAGTGTTTTTATGCCATGACCTGCCTAGTATGTTTTTGCTTGAATTATGGTTTGATTTCCTAGCTAAGAATTTCGTGAAATGTGTTGATTTTTACCAGTCAAATCCAAGTAAACAGCCCTCTCAGAATCAGGTAAACAAACACAATCATCGACCCTGCCAAAGATAACATCCAATCTGTGATGAAATATTGACAAAAGTACACACGAGCAAACAACTACACACACACAAAGAGAAAATGTATTTATTGAAGGAAACAAAACTTTCATCAAGCTTTTTTTTTAAATTTTTTTTTTCAGTTTCTGATAACACACTTGTCTACTTCTAGTCTGGTTCCCTGACCCCTTTGTCCTTTGGACTTCAAAAATGGGGTCTGGTAACCAGCGGTAAATCTGGCATACATTGCCCGGAATTCCGGAATTATGCATGACGTCATAGGTCTGAAACCCGCCTCGCCTCGTGAATTCTAAATCACATCGGTAATGTTTGCGCTTAACCAGCCTAGGCCTGTTGCAAAATGGCAATAGGCCTGGCCACGTATGTGCAGAGGTAATGAACTTCGATTTTTGCTGAATTTGAAAGTATATCTGGCAAATATTAATAAAGAGAGAAATATTGCTGTTCAATATTTACAACCTATGCAGCTGAAATGCTTGCAAGTTACTTGCATGGAGACATTGGTGATTTTGTGCACTTCTTGTGGTAAAACAAGCGTGAGTTTCTTGATAATCGTGGGTTCAATCACCGGCGTCCATGCACAAAAGTTGAACAGCGATTCGAAAATAAACAATCGTGATACGCGCGCCAGAGGCGATCCAATCACAGGCTTTAGATAGGAGTTAGTTGCCGGTTCCCATATCTTTAGGGAGGCGGGAAACAGTCAAGTTTACTTTAGAAAGTTTATCGTGCAAAAAAATATGAAGTATAGATAATATGCAAATAAGTTTGAACCACCGAGAAGATATACACAAGCATACACACAATACCATTACTGCTTGCGGCAGTTAATAAAACGACTACATGTACAAGGAACACTGAATGGAAAACTGAACGGTTTTCAAGTTTTGACCCTTATACCAAAGTAAATTAGAAATGTGATAAACCACGTATAATATCAAGAAATAAATAGCAAAATCGTACTTGTGAACCAGCAAAGCGTGTTGGCAAAGTACGCAGGCGGTGATTACCAACTTTACCGACGCATACGTGAAAGGATGAGCCACAAGGCGTTCGCTAGATCACGATTATTGGTTGACGCCCCGTAATGAGAATGCGGGAACCAATCTTAGGCCAAAAAATAAAAAGTCTCCGGTTTCTGGTATGCGCGCGCGTCGCCGTAGCCATGCGCGTCGGCAAAATGAAAAAGTTTTTTTTTTTCAATGAAAGATGATGTCTCAAAACCGCCAAACTCACTGGTTTGACTGGAATCCTGCTGCTGCACAATTTTAACGTGTTTTTAGATGGGGTTATGATCGAGAATAAGCTTTATGTGGCCTCTCTGGTCTCCCATAATATTTGCACTAAGTTTAGTCGGGCACCATTTGCAGTCATCAGCCGACATTTGAAGCCAAAAAAACAGGTAAAAAAAAAAAAAGCCGCGTCGCCGCACCACTTTTTGGGCAAGCTCCATACCAGAAACCGGAGACTTTTTTTTTTGGCCTTATAGTAAAGAAAAATACAGTGTATACCTCACTGGTTCGCGTTGCTTTTATCGCACATTCTGAGTAATTGCATACCAGGGAAACTTCGTCCTGCGTTATAAAATGTTTTTTAAACAATAGAACTCTCTAAACTTTAACATTAAACAAAATGTGAATTAACAAGGCCTAATTTGGTAACTTGAATTGTCAAGTTCTACATCGTATCTTTTTTACCATGGAGACCAAGATCATAGCAAGTGGCAGTAAGCTTGGACGACTGGTGGCGCTCTACTCCATCACGTCAGGTGGTGTGATACAGTCGTCGTGGGTTGGATCCTTCGAACATTGGATGTGAAACACACGTCTGGCGATGCACAACAAAGGTATACCCGAAACACTTTTAGTTAAATCCAAATCAGTCCATACCTAGCAGTTTTTGTTGGACTTAAAAGGTCATGGTTAAGATTTTATTCTTTTCGTTTGAAACAAACAACATGTATGGACGCTTCGACAAAGAATGGGAATAGTGGTCGAAGGCAGATGCGCTAATTGGTACTGAATTTTCACAATATTATCTTGACGTTTCTGAAAACTTACTCGTCACTATCCGTGCATGTCCATTCGATTCCTTTTTCCTTGAACAATCTCTCCAGGACAGCAACCGATCCAGTACCGCATGTCTCACTGAATTGGAAAAAAAACACTATGATATAATTATTACCTGCAAAGACGTGACCACAATATTATAAACATGATTCCAAACTCTTAAATCTTTTGATTTGAAAAGCTATCAGTTGTGGGAATGTAGGCCATTCATGGAAAATCCAATTATATTATTTTATTTCAGACTTCCGACTTTTTATGAGCGATTAAAATATGCCACACAATTTTGTGGTGTACCATATGCACGTCGAACATGTATACATATCAAATGGACCTGTGAACTAATGACGTCTCGCTTTGTTTACAGGGGGCCATGCCCTCCCCCCCCCCCAAAAAAAAAAATAAAACAATCTTTTTTTTATTTTTAGTGACTTTGCAATAAAGGCAGACATTAAGTACACCACCATCTTTTCCTTAAAAAAACATTGGTTAAAGTGGTCAGAAATGGCTTCAGATCGCACCACAGAGCATCTAGAATCAATTTTTTTTTTCAGGGCCCAACTAACTAGGCGGGCCCCAAACCCCACGCCGTAATTTTTTTGGACACACTTTTTGGGGACCGAATTTTTTTTGGCCCCCCAAAAAAACCAAATTGTGTTCTGGATCCGCCCTTGAGTAAAATTCACAAGACTGATTGGGACTCGAGCCCACGACCTTCTGCAACTGACTTGCGGCATTCGTTTTTGTTCAGCAGTGTATGGGTATAAACTTACACGACAGGTTTCCCCAGGCGATTGACAAGGATGATGTCTCCTCGAGTAACCTTCTCTGGATCCATGTTGGGGAACTCGTAGTTGGCGAAGAAACTAGAAGGAGGGGGAAAAGGTCTCACTCTATTAGGCCTAGTCTATTAAAAAACAGTTAAAATATTGACTGGGTTTTCTAGTTCTTGGCAACTGACTCATTTAATTCTGGAATAAAAATAATGCTCATCACATCGACGTTTATCAGTTTCCAGTAAATCGGTAGAAAATATCATATTAATAACTTAACTCTGGTGTCAACGCCTACCTGTCGTTGCGATAGGCACCGTCTGTCCTGGTAGCGTCCAACATGACGGTGACGACGCCCGTAGCTTGACGGCCAATCTGTGATCGTTGGAGGAAGGAGAAAACGGGGTTTCAAACAACAGATTGCACCATCCAACGGCGGATGGGGGGGGGGGGGGGCAACGGGGGGGGGGGGCAACGGGGGGGGGTCATGCCCCCCCCCCCGAAAATAAAAAAATAATGAGTCCAACTGTTTTTTAAAGTTACGTCGCAAAAAGGTATACCCACTGCGTACACCATCCACAAAACTCAGCAAAAAAATGGGAACAATATTGGTTTGCCCCCCCCCCCCCTAAAAAAGAAGAAGTTGTGTTCTGGATCCGCCATTGGCACCATCCCCATGAATCCTTAAAAGCTCATGTACTGTGCTCATTACAAAAGGCCTTGGTATTGTATCATTTAAACTATACAGAAAACCAATCCAAGTGAAGTTGAAGTTACTTACAGCAGACGATGTCGCAGTATAAAAAGCCGTCGACGCCACTTCACACCCCTCTTGCCAGAACTCTGGGCATTCCCAATAGTTGAGTCCGGTGGACCAAGGATTGGTGGAGCTGCACCACTGGAGACCATCTACCATGTACCCCATCAACGTGTCTTCCAAGGTCAAGAGGTCATTGGCAGCCTCCGTGTACTCGTGGACGATGTAACTGGTGCCCGACCAAAACATTGACTGGAAAATGAATAAAGAACAGACTGGTATGAACTTGGAGACATTGCTGAACAGACCGCAGGTAGGCAAAGAGGTCACTATAGACAAACAGTTAAGCACGGTCATTGTAATCGAAAGTGGACTGCATGTCATTGCGCTACCTTCGGTATTTTGATAATAATTTCAGAGCGAATCAGACCTTGTATTAACAGAAGCACACAATGGCAGAGCTTGCTAAGTTCTGCTTCGATGATTTCAAAAACAGGGATAAACCAAGAAGATGGGATATTAGCACTTTCCCTCTCTCCTCAACTTTTAATTTAAAGGTCAAAATCATCAGTCATGTTTCTTCCGCCAGCAACTGAACCGTTAAATGAAGGTGCATTAATTAACTACTTTATGAAATTGTAATAAAAAAAAGAACCCCTTCCAATATGCAACCAAAAAAAAACTAAAATCCAATGAATGAAGCACAGTTTTTTATTTAATATAATACATTTTCAACTTTTTTATTTGTATTTCTGTGAAGCGCCTAAAGCGTCACTTTTTGACGTATCTGGCGCTATACAAAATTTAGTTATTGTATTATTATATTCTTTGGAAGCTCGAACTGCCTTTCCACGACAAAATGGAGCTCGATCCCAAACTTAATGCTTTAGATGAAAACTGGAACAAAAATGCTTATTTTCACCTTATCGGCTGGCAGTTGGTGAGGCACTGCTGCAATGAAGTCCCGGTAGGCGTCCAGTGGTATAGCGCATGGGTCCTTGTATGCTATGGCGTCATGGAAAAGTTTCCACAGGCGCATACAGTTGACGGGTCTGTAAAGAATAATTACGGAGTATGCAGTGATAAACGAACGTAGCACCGAGATGATGCAGAGCAAATTTGGGCTGATATCCTTTTGATCTCTATCTCGGTGACCTTGATCAGAACTGATCGAGTTTCGCTCGTGCATGCACCGTACCAGCCTATTGAAACACGCGACACCTGCAGACCACTCCCCCCCCCCCCCCCAGCATTTATGCATTCCGTGAAATGATTAGGCCTGCTTTACCTATTGAAGCTTTCAGCCCCATTTTCTCCCACTGCGAAATAACTCAATAGTTTTACAAAATAACACAATACTTATTGTGAAATAACGCGACAGTATCGAAATAACGCAATAGTATTGCGAAATACTACGAAAGACTTTTGCGTTATTTAGCAATACTATTGCGTTGTTTCGCAATAATGTTTTTTTTTTTTACTTTTAAAACATGGAACGAACGGGCTTCCGTATGTTTGAGAAGAAACAAGTAAGGCCAAAAAAGTCTCCGGTTTCTGGTCTGCGCGCGCGTCGCCGTAGCCATGCGCGTCGGCAAAATTAAAAAGATTTTTTTTTCAATGTAAGATGATGTCTAAAAACCGCCGAACTCACTGGTTTGACTGGAATGCTGCTGCTGCAAAATTTTAACGTGTTTTTAGATGGGGTTATGATCGAGAATAAGCTTTATGTGGCCTCTCTGGGCTCCAATACATTTTGCACCAAATTGAGTCGGGCACCATTTGCAGTCATCAGCCGACATTTGAAGGAAAAAAAAAGCCGCGTCGCTGCACTACTTTTGGGGCAAGATCCATACCAGAAACCGGAGACTTTTTTTGGTTTCCATAATGTGTCTTTAACTTGAGAGTTCTTGATATGATCCAACATATGGTCCAACTACATGCTCAATTGCTAAACCAATTTTCTAATGTAATTGTATAGTTTTAGTGACGGTATTTGAGTATTTTCACTGTAATTGCTGGGGTTTGGTGCCTTCAATTTTGCATTATTGTAGCTAATTGATATCCTCATTGTGGTATGCTAAATAAACTCAACCCCCAAAGTTTGGTTATCTAAGGTGTCGTTATATGTTTGTATATAATACAAACTGTAGATAATGTTCTCGTGTAACAACAAACATGTTCACACTCACTCGTATTTTATTGGTGTCATTGATAATTTATTTCAGTAATCCCATCTTGTCGCCATTTTACTGTGGTACCGCAACTGTTACATGAGCCAGTACCGTACCAGTCACTAACTCTCTGGCAGGTACGGTACATGACTGTTAATTCTGCATATTGCAAAAAAAAATAGTTAAGATCGGCCTTGCGTATTTCCCTTGCATTTTTGCCTCACTTTAACTCTACATTATGTACATTGAACACGTATTCTTTAATTTGTGAAATGCCTCCTGTTTGGTACAGAATCCATTTTGTTTGGACATAATAGGTATTGTAGCTGTGGAAATTTGAATATTTTAAATGCCTTGCATGTACTCTTAATAGTCAAATTGAAATGACGCAATTTTAGAAATCGTGTCCACCTTCATAAAACTTTGTAGTCATGATATTGTACATACTTGCTAAATATTTTCAAGTGATATCAATATTTTCTCTCTGTACACAGAACCCCTCATCGTCTGGTGGCCTTATAGTTTCCCGTATTTGTCCTTGAGTTTTTATACCTGGACCAATCCTGTACATATCCTCGAATTCTTTAAATGTATATCAGACACACACCCGAAGGCATTTTTTTGTTTTGTTTAGGGCCTAAGTTCCCAATTGAAAAAAAAACATTTTGTGAGCTACCTGAAAATTAAGTATCCAACTGCATGATAGGTTTTATTTTCACCTCCGTTCGCTTGGTTACACTATACCAAACTTCAATGTGCCCTTACCCAATATTCCCTTGTCCTTTTCCCACGAATTTCGGTATGTTTACTAATTAGACCACGAGCAACAAATGTAATCTAATCGCGACTGCGAAATTTTGCCTCTAAAGGGGGGGGGGGGGGGCTGTGACATTAGGGAGACATGAAAATGTCTCCCTAATGATCGATGTCTCCCATCGTACGACGAAATTACGATAACGTGTCTCCTTAATGGTACCTTTACACATGCACGTATAATAATAATAACATGGATATAAATACTTATAATAATAATAATGATAATAAACCGGTGATTTATATAATATAGCGCTTTTAGCAAGATCTAAGCGCTTTACAGGGAAGAAACAATCAAGTAGAGCTAGCGGTAAGAGCAAAGCAAATGTGGATAGAATTGCGAGTCTCTGATGTGTGATGGGATCTTGTTCCATTCTTTAGGACCTGCAATGAAAATGCTTTGTCTCCTGTACTCTTGGTAGTGATGGTTGTCCGTATAAGCGGGACTTATCAGATGAAGACCTGAGCCTCTCCCTACTAGGTTCATGAAAGGGAAGAAGTCAAACCAAGTTGGGGGGAGCTGTGCCGTGTTGGTGACTTGTAGACTCGCATGAGTAATTTAAAAAGGATGCGATGTTTGAGTGGTAACCAGTGTAGCTGCTGAAGAAGACCGGGAGCATCTTCAGATCGGCCTCGCCGGCTTTCGTGTACCCCTTTATCATCCCTACGATAAACCCATATAAATTACACGTACCTCTGTGGGCAAGCGTTGGGTATCGCAGTCTCCACCTGTAGCTCCAAGCATCTTCCCAGGAATATCTCCTTGATGAACGGAGTGGTGCCTGTGCTCTCGGGGAAGCAACTTTCCCTCTTTCTGCGGCTCAACCTCTCCATGTATTGCCCGCAACACAATCCAACCAACACCAATAACACAAGAATATTCAGCAGCTTCATGATTTGATATTGCTTCGTAGTGCGAGCACAGTGCAAATACGCGAGTGGTGTATATAATTATAACCGCTAGTTCAAACTGCGAAGACTATACTACCAAACCAACTAACTGAGAAGTTGGAAAGTACAGGCCGCTTCTATATTGCTATAGTCTGAGGATCCGTGTGTAGAGCCACGGTCAAACGCCTGATAAAGCTTAACATGCAAATTTTATGCGACACCGCGCCAGCCAATCGGAGTCGACTTTAGAAACTGTGACGTCATTTCGATCAGAAATAGCTCCTGACTAGTCATGTGGGATGCCATGTTTTTGTAATACAACAGCGGGTTATATTACGGAAGACCGATATAGAAGGCGCCCGCTGAATGGTCAGAATCTCGAGGTCAAGATGCAGTCTTGTTTTGCATAATTAATCACCGAATATGCTTGCATATCATACCCTTGCTGTGCAAGGGGATATTCCATAGACTAATAGTGCTAGTGGTTAACCTGAACAAAAAACACACACAAAACTAGAGATTCGCGTTTGTTTTCGTTACTATAACGCAGGATGATCGGGCAGACAACCGTTACAACAGTTATTTCACTGGACATTGCCGAGTTCAGATATGAATATCATTGGTCACAACAAAAATAATCGAATTTGGCATTTTCCAGTGTAGTAATGTGTTTTAATTTGAAGAAAAAAAATCGTATCGTGTTTGACAGGTTTCATTTAAACGTGACTTCCGGTTTGATGACGTCATCAGTTGAAAATTCGCAGAATGAAAAATTGATTTTGTTTAGACAGGGTCATATTTTTATGCAACATGGTATGGAGAAAAACCTCTGAAAATATATACACGAAAGTATAAATGTATATATATACATATCGAGAACAATTATCGACGTAGCTATGGACAGAAAAGTTCGGATGTATACATATTCTATATCCGTATCCATCCTATTTTCAACGCCTGCAAATTTTCAGGGATTTCCTTTGTTTCATCACCTTGTGCCATGGCCATTCGTCGAAACTCTTTGATGCAAAAAGAGAATTAGGGCGATTAAGGTGCGATTCCAATATCGCTTTCTACTTAATCTTCCATTGATGAAAGACCCGCATAAATGATACCATAATTACTAGCGATGAACAAGTATCATTTCAAATTACAAGGTAATCCATGCCAGTAATGAGTTTATGAAAGCCAGTGCCCTCGACCAACACGTAAATATGCTTGTAATTATTGCTGGCAGTGTGCATGTGTGTCACCAGAAATTTACTCATTAAGTACGGTAGCCCGACAAAAAATTACTAAAGTGGAATTTTGCTTGGGCCTATAGAGGCCCAGAAATGTATAATCAAAGGAAAGACAAAAAAACCCTGCGCCCAATTTCATAGAGCTGCTTAAGCAGAACATTTGCTTAAGCACGAAAAAACATTGCTTAGTAAAATTAGGTTACCGGCCAAAACTCCATGTGATGTACATTGCTTGTGACTGGTATTTAGCTGTTGTTTACTTAGCATAACAATCGCATGGAGTTTTGGCCGGTAACCTGATTTTATTAAGCAAGACGTTTTGTGCTTAAGCAAATTTTGTGCTTAAGCAGCTCTATGAAATTGGCCCCTGGTTGTTTACATCGGCCGTGCATGACGGACATTTTGTGGCATATGCATACGTATTTCCAGCCGTGTCCATTCAATGTACGGTACAAGTTGTGTGTGTGTCACATAATACACTCAACAGCTCGATTTTTGAGAGTCAACATTTTGAGCCCCGAATTCGTTATCGCATGGCAAGAATGATACACAAAACACCCAGTTTTTAAAGAATGGCCGTGTGGGCATTTATATTCTACTTTTAAATGCTATTTCAAATGAACTATTTAGCATCATTTCGTTTAAAACGCCAATTGGACGTAATGGACGTAATGTCTCTTTAATCATGACACACTCAGTGCCTATATACATGTGGCTACTTCTTTTTAAAAAACTTTTAAAAACCCCTCAAAACCTTAAAATAAAATAAAAATGCAAATTAACTAGGTCTAATTTGGTAACTGGAATGGAATTGTTAAGTTCTACATCAGCTCAGCCACCATGCATACTAAGATCATAGCAAGTATAATCAAGCTTGGACGACTGGTGGCGCTCGACCCCGTCACGTCAGCTGGAGTGATACATTCGGTGTGGGTTGGATCCTTTGAACACTGGACGTGATACACCCGTCTGTGAATGTAAAAAAAATATAAAAGTGTGAAAATGCAAATGCAAGTTGCAGGCTTGCAGCATGCCTATTAATTTCAGGGAGTGTTTTGTTTGTAAATAATGTATCTTGACGCCTTTTTACCACGATACTGTAGCCCATAACCTAAATGATATTCGATCATTGTAAATTTGTCTTTTAAAAATTAGTCAGAGAAGAAAACAGTTTTAAGGGAATACATTTGTGCTTTGCCGGTGTTAAACAAGTACGTTTCAAACCGGCTTGAGGGCTGGACGCTGATATTTGGCCGGATGCGATTGCGAGGGACATTATCGGCGAAAAGGCCCGCGCACGGTAAAGTTGAAATGACGTCACACTTACGAACCGGACAGGAATGGGTAAACTCAGTGTCCCGGGTATTTATGAATAGTTAAAAACCCAGCGGACACAATTGCAATGCGGCAAATTTAGGTTAGTGCTTTGCTTGGTCGTATATCTCCAAGATACTTCAAGATAAATTCCTGATATTTTTCTCAAACTTACTCGTCATTATCCGTGCATGTCCATTCGATTCCTTTTTCCGTGAACAATCTCTCCAGGACAGCAACCGATCCAGTACCGCATGTCTCACTGAATTGGAAAAAAAGAATATATGATAAAAACTACCTGTACCACAGACGTGAGCACTATAACTACGACTTCAAAATCCCTAAAAGCCTGTCGGAATAAAACTCACAAGCCCGATTGGGACTAGAACCTCTAGCAACTGTTTAAATTGTGACACTCATATGAGTGTCTGTGTTCAGGAATATAACATAAGAATTAGGTAAACTTACACGATGGGATTCCCCAGGCGATTGACAAGGATGATGTCTCCTCGAGTAACCTTCTCCGGATCCATGTTGGGAAACTCGTACTTGGCGAAAAAACTAGAAGGAGGGGGAGAAGGTCTCACTCTTTTAAAACAACAGTTAAAATATTGACTGGGTTCTCTAGTTCTTTGAATTTAATTTAAGTCTTCAAATAAAAATAGTGTATGTAAAAGTAATTCCTCATAAATTGTTTCAAATAAAAAACTAATCAAATTATGACTGAGAATGCATGTTATAGTTCGCCGGCTGTAATTGGTGGACGCTAATTCTACTGACAAAAATCGATATCCAATAGACAGTCATTAATTGTAACAGCTCTATTTTCTTCTCTTAATTTTTCAGAAATGAAAATCTGCCCTTACAACCCCAACAGGCAACGTGCCTGTGTTCTTATGTTGTCATCATTTCCATTGATGCTTAATTTCAATGCCAGTAAATTAAACATTTCAAGGATTTTCTTTTCTTTAACAACGGTGCCTGTAACCGAATTCCCTTGATGTCTGACGTGAGTTAATTAACTTGATTTCTGTTAAAGCAATTAGATGAAAGCCCAAGCCGTGTCAACGCCTACCTGTCGTTGCGATAGGCACCGTCTGTCCTGGTGGCGTCCAACATGACGGTGATGACGCCCGTAGCTTGACGGCCAATCTGTGATTGTTGGAAGAAGAAGAAGATAAAGAAAACAGGGTTTCCAAAACGGCTTGAACCATCCCCTTTAATCCGTACAAGTTACATCGTATATTTACTCATTTAGCTCGCATACTAAATGATAACTTAGTGCTCATTACAATAGGCCTTGATATAATTATTGTATCATTTGAACTACAGCAAACCAATCCAACAAGTTGAAAGTGTTCGAGGTAAAAGGAAAATAGAGATTTCATTTTTCTTACTGCAGACGATGTCGCGGTATAGAAAGCCGTCGACGCCACGGCACATCCCTCTTGCCAGAAATCGGGGCATTCCTGATAGTTGAGTCCGGTGGAGCTGGCATCGGTGGAGCTACACCACTGGAGACCATCCACCATGTATCCTAGCAACGTGTCTTCCAAGGTCAAGAGGTCATTGGCAGCCTCCGTGTACTCGTGGACGATGTAACTGGTGCCCGACCAAAACATTGACTGGAAAATGAATAAAGAACAGACTGGTATGAACTTGGAGACATCGCTGAACATGCACAGACAGGCAAAGAGGTATAGACAAACAGCTACACACGGTCATTTGAATCGAAAGTGGACTGTGCGGCACCTCGTTCGTGTATTTTAATAAGGCAGATATTAAACACCGCAAAAAAAAGGAAATTTCCCACTCAATGTAGAGTGCTGTGGCCTCGTGGTTAAGGGCACTGGATTCGCGGTCTGTGGTTAAAGCTGCGGGTTGCGAGTTTGAGTCCAGCCGGGGTCATTGTGCGTGTGCTCTAGGGCAAGGCACTTTGCTCATTGCTTCTCTCCACCCAGGAGTAAATGGGTACCTGTGAGGGCAGAGATGGTTATTGTGATTGAATTAGCTTCCTTGCGCCTAACGGGCAGCATCGAACTGTATACTCCCCAGGGGGGCTGAGATGGTATTTGGAATTGGCCCAATGATCAGGGGTAATAATAATATTGTAAGCGCTGTGTTTAGTTTACTAATAAGAGCGTTCTTAAATGCCGCTATTATTATTATTGGAGGGGTCATAACTTACGAATCTGATTGTCTTGTGACAACTTTTCGAACTGCATGATTTTTCATAAACTGTTTTTAACCTTGGACGATTTGTAGTCTTTGGCATAGCAAACGGGGTGGCAAAATGAATCTAAGTAACCAAATTCCCCAAAGGTCTATACTAATGACGTCATCATCAGACGATCAGATTCTAAATTATGACCCTCCAATGAGTATGGACCTTTTTGGCGGCGTTTATTTTTTAACTGCAGGGCTAACCCGGGGAGATCAGATAGTTAGCACTTTCGGTCTTTCCTCAACTCTTTCAGAGAACAGCATGCACTGAACCATCAAATGAAGGTGCATTAATTAACAACTTCATACAATTTTATTTTAAGAAAAAAGAACCCTTCCCATATGGCATATACAACACAAAAACCCTATAAAATCCAATTGATAAACCAGACTCTTTAAAAGCCCAAACTTCCTTTCCACGACAAAGTGGAGCTCGATCCTAAATGTAATACTACTAGGGCCTATGGAACACAAATGCTTACATTACTAACACGTGCATTGTCGTAAACGTTGGTATCTGGAAATTTCTATGCAAAACCCCCTACACCGGGGGTTTGTGTAGAAAATATCAAACGGTTATTTATCACTGCCCATCACGTTCAATTAACTTTGGCAGCGACCGTAAGCCCCATTTGAAAGAAAAAGTTAAGACCGGATCAATTGTACCAACTTTTACGACAACGTGTTGGTAATGTTCCAACGCATGAAAATCGCTCGATCTTTAGAAACGCAGATCTCGGCATTTCACGAGATCATTGGCCTTGATTTAACTGCTCCCCCACTTCGCACTTTCTTTACTTCCAAGTTGGGGTTCGGCATCAATGTATTTTTTTACCTTCTATCATTTTGTTTTCTTACCTTTACTGTATTGTTAGCGTTCGTGGAAAACATATTTATATCCGACAGGCTCGATTGCCGCTGCACCCACCGAGAGCTCCCGTAATCCCACATTTGACAAAAGAGCAGAGAACTTTGAGAAACACAAGTTTTGCGTGGTTAATATTTGAAAGCGAGCGGATAGTCATTAACCTTGTGCACCATTCGCCATCAATCATGGATACTTGTGACATTGAAGAGATGGTTTTTTTGTTCAGAGTCAGTGAAATTTAAAATTTGGATGAGATCTTATTATAATCACACCTGCATGGCAAGCTGTCGTAAAAGTGGGTTACTGAACATTTCTATGCAAAACCTCCTACACCGGGGTTTGTGTAGAAAATATCAGACGGTTATGTATTACTCCCGATCACGTTCAATTAACTTCGGCAGCGACCGAAAGCCCCATTTGAAAGAAAAAGTTAAGACCGGATCAATTCACCAACTTTTTAACGACAACGTGTTGGTAATGTAGCTCTATATCCACCTTATCAGCTGGCAGTTGGTGAGGCACTGCTGCAATGAACTCCCGGTAGGCGTCCAGTGGTATGGCGCATGGGTCCTTGTATGCTATGGCATCATGGAAAACGTCCCACAGTAGCGTACAGTTGACAGGGCTTTTTAAAAAAATTACAGATTATACATCACTTACAAGAAAAACCTATGTCAACTCTGATATCGGTTTTTAATTGAGTCTGTTTTAGCACTTATGTGATGAATATTTCGTGCAACGCGACACCGTTTTCTTTATTTCACGTTGCGGCACACATTCAGCGTTAATAGCATGCAGTCAAGGAAAATATAATGTAAATTCAAATTGTGAACCCATATGTGAAGTGCATTGGAAATAATTATGTTTGATCCTTATACATTTTGTAATTGTTATTATTATCTAAATCGAAACACACACACATGTTTACGTTACGTATAGTGTGGACATTCCAATTGGTTTCGTTTTTTTTTTTTTAAACCTCATTTTACTCTCACTGTGAAAACACTTTCACAATCCAATTTTTTTCTCTATGATTCCAATTAAGTGTTTCTCTTCATTTTGCCACAGATAAACCTAACCCCAAAATGCCTCTAAACCTGTTTTCCAGAAAGGGGAAACACTGTGTGGACTTGCCGACGTCCACACAACGTCGCCGCTACCTCAGTGGTTTTTGTGGACCTCTTTTGTTCAGAAGTCCACACAGTGAATGTAATGCCTACCCAGACACACCCACACGCAAACAAGAGACAGCAAAAAAAAACTGCTGGGACCATGCTGGGACTGAAGGCACAAACGTGATTTGAAAAATGACCGAACCCAGCAACTGACCCGGAGGTAATGCAGAGCAAATTTGGGCTGATGTTCTTTTATCTCGCCTCTCGGTGACCTTGATCAGAATAGTTCGAGTTTTGCTCGTGCATGCACCGTACCAGCCCGTTTAAACACGCATCACCTGCAAACTCCGGCCCCCTCCACCCGCATTGATGCATTCTCTTTGTCCCAATGATTATTCTACCTATACTATCGGCTATTTTCTCGTGACCACGCACTTTGACCCCACTGCATATGGCCCTGACTGCAGGGTTGCACCCTTTTCATTTCAATTTGTGTGTTCAATATAAAATACAAAGGTTTGAGAACAAACAAGTTAAGTTTGTATAAGTTGTGAATTCTTTGTATTATGATCGAACATGGCCCAACTATACGTGTACTCAAAGTAGATGGTTATTCTAAGTATGCTAAACTTGAACCAGACAAAGTACACAACAGACTCCTCAAATCTATTTTTGGAATTTGTGTTTTGCCTTTTTATACATCGAATAATACTTTTTAGCGAAAATTGCCGATGAACCCTGATTTTACTTGAACGAGACACATCGTGTGAGCGATGGAGATCGACAGGTTGCAATGTTACAAGAATACTGAAAAGGCATAGATTTATTCCTGGCTCGCTGTATCGTAAATTCTGTAAATCTGAAAGGTATACAGGGAGAGTAAAAAAAAAACCGCATCCCAAATGGCAGGACCAATTTTGGAATGAAGTTTTGCCTGTAGCACTTTCAAAATCTATAGGATATGAAAGCCCAGTCATTATATAAGCTTTCTTTTTTGTACAAGAATCATTGTAACAATGACCGTACGTCATCATACCACCCCTTAATCCACTGCAAGGCACAAACTCAGTGAAACTCCACCTCGCCGAATTCGTGTACCCCTTTATCGTCCCTGTGATAAACCCATACGTACCTCTGTGGGCAAGCGTTGGGTATCGCAGTCTCCGTCTGGAGCTCCAAGCATCTCCCCAGGAATATCTCCTTGATGAACGGAGTGGTGCCTGTACTCTCGGGGAAACAACTTTCCCTCTTTCTGCGGCTCAACCTCTCCATGTATTGCCCGCAACACAGGCCAACCAACACCAATAAAACAAGAATATTCAGCAGCTTCATGATTTGATATCCTTCGTATAGCGTAGTGCGAGCACAGTACAAAATACGCTACGCGATCGTGTCCTCAAGTTCGAACTGCGAGGATTAACTACCAAACCAACTTAAAAGTTAGAAAATGCAGGCCGCGCCTATAGTCCTATTGGTTAATCCACTCTGCGGAACAAAACAAAACAGCTAACAATTAAAACGACCTTCTCCTCAACACGTCATAGTAGGCCTATACTGTGCTCAGCGGGCCGGAGGTATAGGGCTGTATTGAAGATGGTCGATCGTTTTCAATGCCAAATAATGCCAGTGCTAGCATGCTGGGCGGTATAGTACGGAAGCCCAAGGCCAGGTACGTCCTTTTCACAGCGGTGCGTTTCTCTTTCACGGTCACGTTCTCTCGCCTGGTAGCCAGCCTCTCTATCACAACGTGTGTCTCTCTCTTTCATGTCGTCGCTTTGCTCACGAAGTGACAAAAACCTCGAAAATCGATAATTATTCGATTTGAGTTTTACTAGCCATTTTATTATAGTTGTCTCAAGGAACAATTTGACCAAGTTTCAAGGCAAAATATTGTTTACTTGCTTAATTATTGCAAACAAACAATTGACAAAAAGCCTGAAATCGGTGATTTTCATTTTCACCAAGTGTAAAAATGTGTAAAATGTTCTCACGAAGTGACAAAAAGTCACTTCGTGAGCAGGGCCAGAAATTATACAATGGTCTACACGCGGAAGGATGGGAGCATACACGCGCGCGCGAACGATGTTGAAAAAGAACAGACGCGCGCGCGCAAAAGTAACAAGTTTGTTGCGTCGAAAAAATCCCACGAAGTGACAAAAACTGTGTACAAAGTAATAGGCAAAATATGGGACCCAAAGTTTTGATGTTTTTACGAAGTGCAAACAAGTTTTATTAATGAATTACTGTTTAATACGAACTATTTTTAACAAACAACTATGAATTAACAAAGAGCAAATCATATCCTATCGGACAATGCAAAAATTTCCGAATTCTGTTACTGCAAAGTGGTCGAAAATGTCTTTTGAAAAAGGAATAACTTCAAATGCGATTATCTCAGAATGAACTTTTGTCAATTTTTTAGGTTTTTGTCACTTCGTGAGCAAAGCGACGATGTTAGCTAGCCTCTCTTTCAAAACAATGGGTTTTTTTTAAATTAAGGATGAGAACGTCTAGTAAATATTATTTTTTAACGAAAATAATGTTTGATAACAGGCTGACGAAGGACTGTTGGGAACAGCGAACGGAATATGCATATAGGCCTGATAAACAGTGTTAACAAACAAATCCGTAAAAAAATCCTTTTCTTTTTAAGACGTCCGTTCGATTTGAAAATAGTAGTAGGGGAGTCGAGAATCTGTGTCTGTCCAAATACAAAGAGTAGAAGTCAGGCGCGGAACCCCTGAGAGAGGTTTGAACCCCCCCCCCCTCCCCCGCCAACCCCCCACCCATGTTCTGACGCACACAAAAAATGTACATCTATCACAATTAAAATAATAATAAGGTCCACCTGTCCGCAACAATCGAATATAAACATATATCTTTAACGGGCCTGAACCCTCCCCCCCCCACCGCCAAAATTCCTGGATCCGCCCCTGCACGCCTGATGTCTTTTTCAAAAAAGGCCTGCATAATAATAGTTTCCATTGTTGCGTAACGAGAGGTACGTTTAGCACACGTAGGCCTTCGACTAACAAGGCTGCCGTATACAATTTTCCAAAGAAATGAAAACAGTGGGCTCATTATTGCCCGAAATGTCAACTTCTTTTCGTCTATGGAGCCCAAACAGAAAGGACTCACCAATGTGCCACGTTTCTCCGCCTATTATTTTTGAGAAGAACTCTAAGAAAGCCGAATGGCCTAGTGGTTATATTCGCCGTCCATGCATCGCGCGGGGCACGGGTTCGAATCCCGTCGGTGTCGTTTTGGTTTTAATCGCACTCGTTCAGTCATTATATAAGATGTTTAATTTCCCGTCGTAAATTACCAACGGTACCTTAGCTTAACCGGTAAGCACTGCGGCTGGTACTGTCCGCGAGTTCCAGGTTGGCGCCTTCGTACAGGTTCAGGGCATTGGTCCACTCGGAGGATCAGGTTTAGGGGCCGCCCTGTTCCTCCCTTAGCTCTTTGCTTTTACATGGTGCCTGGCCCTCCGGGGTTATATGGATGGACAGGGAAGGAAGTGTGTATTGGTCGGGGACGCCGAGACCCCGGAAGAGAACTAAGGGGTTGGCTGGGGCATTGTTATGGCTCAGACCGATCCCTGAAAGCTTGACTAGCACATAACTTTTTGATTTTTTTTATCCTCTATCCATTATACTTTGGTTTAGTTTGATATTTGCATCTGCTCGGCAGATGTACTGTAGTTTTGAAAACGAAGCAGAGGTCTATGTCATGAATCAATGAATCATAATTGACTATAATTAAAACGGAGTTTCGTTCGATCAAAATGACTACCATTATTAATGGCGCAATTTCCAATTTCACGTAAAAACGCTATATTATACCGGGGAAAAATAAAGCTGTACATTGTAATATGAACATTATTTACATCTTTCAAATAACGTTTCTTTAATTGTGAACATTCCCAACAAACATTGTAATTCGCAAAAAGGGGGGGGGGGGGGAACGCGAGATAACAAAGTCCATCACCCTTAAAAATGGAAATTCAAAATGAAAAACAAAGTCAAGTGGAATACAAGAATGTACAGTAAGGGTTGAATTGGAAAAAAATCCATTGCATGGGGCTTTTACGGACTTGCTTTTTTACAGACAGTATCATGTAGGAGCGGATCCTGAGCAATTTTTTTTTTTTTGGGGGGGGGGGCTTGGAACCCCTCCCCTGCTCTGACACAAAAAAGTAAACCTATTCTACAGCGGTTATTAACACTAGGCCTATATCACAGTATATGCATATACCCCCTAACAAAGCTGCCGATGTCCGTACTTTTGTGCAAAGTGGACATTATTACCAGTAAACAGTTTAAGCGTGTCAGAAAGGGGGAGGGGGGGGGGGGTGTTTCGCATTTTTTTCACAGAATTCTATAAAAAAAATTGGACAGAACTGGGCATGGGCATCGCAAGGGGGGGGCGGGGCAAAGAGGGGGGGCTTGCCCCCCCCATCGGAAAAGCAAAAAAAAAAAAAAAATTAAAAAGAATGAGAAAAAAAAAGAGAAAATGAGGCGCGAAGTCAGAGTGCTGTAAATTTAATGAGTTGGGGGGGGGGGTGCAAAATGTTACTGCCACCCTCTTTAACTGATATATCGAGAATTTGTTGACAAATACAAGATTTTTGGGGGAAAATTTTGCCTCCCTCTAGAAAAAGTCCTGGCGACGCCCATGGAGGTGGGGAATTCCCCCCTCCCCCAGATCCGCGCCTGCACCTCTTCGACCGTTTTGCACAACACATGATCGAGTAGTGTGCAATGACATCGGGGATGACCCTGCATTTCTTCAGAAGCTTTCGGCAGCAGCACGTGCCTTCCGCCGCCGTCTCCTGCAAGGCTAACCCCTTGCAATTTTTGTCAATTTTGGTCCAAATATGATATTGCTCCAAACTTCCTGGAAGGACTCCTAAGGGACCCTAGAACGCATTCCAACTCGATCTAGGAACAGATATATCATAAAAAGAAATTCATATTTTAGCCAATTTTTATTAAAAATGTAAGGCTAACCCCTCTCAATTTTTGTCAATTTTGTTCAAAAAACGAAATTGCTCCAAACTTCCTGGAAGAACTCCTAAGGGACCCTCGAACACATTCCAACTCGATTCAGGGACAGATATATCATTAAAAAGAAATTCATATTTTAGCCAAATTTTATGAAAAATGTAAGGCTAACCTTGAAATTTTTGTCAATTTTTGTCAAAAAATCAAATTGCTGCAAACTTCCTTGAAAGACTCCTAAGGGACCCTCGAACACATTCCCACTCGATTTAGGGACAGATATATCATTAAAAAGAAATTCATATTTTATCCAAATTTTATGAAAAATGTAAGGCTAACCTCTTGCAATGTTTGTCATTGCAGTGGCAGTACATGTACATTTTACACCAGCGCACAGTCGAGTCTCTGGTGGTGAAATCGTGCACGTGACAACTCTACGTCAGTGTTTTTTACACCTCAACTTGTTCCTTCCAATTGACAACTTCAAACAGATTCAGTAGTTTCTAGTGCGTTTTTTTGCACTGTTACAGAGCAAAGAAATAAAGTTGCATTTTTGATTGTCTGAGTATATTCAATAAATTTAATAATAGAACAAATAATCAGCAGAATTTGATATTAAAGGGTGTAGGTTCAACAGAAGGAAAAACTCACAATCACATGACAGTGTCTACCATTTTTAGCTGGTAGCCGACTTATTGCTCAATCGAAACAGTATATTATCATTTCAACACCATTCTACACAATAAACAATCAAATCATCCTGATTTTGGTATTTGTGCTTGCAGCAGCAACCGGGTACGACGACCCAAAGTTTTAATTACATCTTTCAATAATTCGAACCTTTAAAGACTTGATAGTATTTACAGAACTATCATCTATTATCTAGGCGTAAGAGTCTTTCATTATAGACACATTTAAGTAATCATTAATTATACAGAATTATACCTGAGACAACACTCGTTTTTGCAATTGTTATGATTATTTCTAAATATTCGTACCCCATTTGATATTATGTTTAGTCTCATCGCTGTGATGACTACCTGGTACGACAGTGTTTTAATTACGGTCATTCAATAATTTGAACCTTAAAGACGTCTTGATAGAGACAATATTTACAGAACTAGGGTCTATCATTTAGGTGTAAGAGCCGTTCATTTAGCATATTTGCGTAATCAATAATAGAATTAACCTTGAGACTTCCCTCCTCTTTACAATTGTTATGGTTATTTCTGAATATTCGTACCACATTTGATATTATATTAAGGCAAGCTTTTCAGAACTATCTTTTTTGGTTTTGTACAATACCAAAAACCTTCCGCTGAGGATAAATCACGCATACTATGGTGCAAGTATGGTGTCCCAAATCTGCCATCTTGCATCTCGCATCTCGCATCTCGCATCTCGCATCTCGCATCTCGCATCAAAGTAATCATATCAAATTACATTTGACGCGAGATGCGAGATGCAAGATGCGAGACGCGAGATGAGAGATGGCAGATTTGGGACACCATATGCAAGTCTATTCAGACTTGTTCGCGTTCTGAACGCATTAGATCTAGTAGATCTAGTAGATCTATAGCATCTCATCTAGTAGATCTGATCTTTATAAATCTTACTGCCAACCTGCAAATCTCGTTTTATACCTCCGTCAGAAACTACTCTGACCATACCTTGATTGCCACTTTTGGATTTCTTTTGAACCTTTAAGCTTTACAGAACTTTCCTTTAGGCTTCAGAGCCTTTAGCCTTTAACTATACTTAATTGAATAATCGCAAGATACCACTCGTCTATTACATTATGGCTGTTTCTGGATTTGTACCCCATTTAACATTGCTGTGTTGACTGCCAGATACGAAAAATCAAAACCATATTTGGAAAAATGGAAACGTACACCTGAACTATGCAAGACAACTCCTTCAGGCAAGGGTAGCAATGTTCGTCTCTTATAAATACCAAAGATACTAGAGAGGGGAAGATAGGACAGCGCGTATCTAATTGTACGGTGACCTTTCCAATGATGTTATTTTTGATGCAGTAGGGAGCACTATAAAATTTCACCTGAAAACCCTACTAGGAGCCTATTTCCTATTTTTAATTTATCTAAAAAGCTAGGCCCATTCATTCTATTAAAGTACTCTGCTCATCAGGCCTAGCATGGGCACACTCACGACTGGTCTCCATTATTAGTCCTGGAAATTCAATAAAATAGACCCCTCATCTCATTCTCGCAGTCGGCAGGACACTACAACTTAGGGACAAGCTCGTCCATTCCTGTCCATAGCAACATGCATTAATTTTCCCCTTCGGTTGGCGCCATAAACAACGAATTGAAATCCTATTCCTACTTTACCAGGACTTTTATCAATATTTTTTAACCAAAAGCTTTTGCCTTACCTCTCACTGTCTTTTGGAAAACGGTAGAATGACAGTTGTGTTGTTTTTGGGGGGGCTATTTTGGCAATTAATTGCAGCGCACCAAATCTTCGACTTCGCTGTGCTATTGGTCGCAAGTTTTACCTACCCGCCGTAGGAGGCGCCCTTCCCCAGGTGACCTTTGAGAAAGTACTTTCGGTTTCACCGTTTTGCGCGGACTGTCCTATCTTCCCTTCTCTAGTATCTTTGTAAATACTGTTTGAGACATCGAACAACTATGAAATTACAACCAGACTTGACAACTGTGTTAAAAATTGTGTGTTGTCGTTGCTGCTCGCAAGCGTGAAGTGATCTACCTTCAATATCCAACCACGCACACATTCCTGTGCCACTCCCTATGCAAATTACCCGCCCTTAACCACTCTACCGTGTCTCATTTACATATCAATGATAAAGTAGATTTATTCTAATTCGTCCCGGTACTCAACCGAATAAATCAATTTATTTCGGAGTGGTACGGTACGGGTACCAGTCGTTCTTTAATGATTTCTGGAAACTGGCGAGTGGCGAAGAGACATCAAACTTCCCAAAGACTGCCAGCCCACAGCTCAAATAAAAAGCCTTCTTGCAATTTTAAAGACGTGGATCGGAGTAACATATAACAATGAAGCTTCTTACAGCAGTCCTACTTCTTATTTTGGTAGCGCTTGGTAAGTATTTGACTTGCACTTGCAGCATTTTGGCCGTGCTTGCACTTGTACTTGAGTTGTACGCCGCATACACTTCATCACTGACAACAAATGACTGACATGATTGATGTTGCAATGTTTCTAGTTGAAAATATTCAGCATCTGAGCATTGTTCTACTCGTCATGCTCGTATTAATGTGGGCCTAAGTTAACAAATGTACATGTTGGGAATGTAATGCTAGTAAAGTCATTGATAGAGGGCTAAAACTGATTGAGGCAGTTGATTTGGTGATATGGTGTGGTTTGTTAATGGGGTGTACGCTATGGCATGTATGGGGAATGGCTGAAGTGAAGGGTTCGAACCCCGCCCCACGTGTGCCACCATGCCCACAGATGTTTACAAAAAAAATATTAATTTAGGCCTAACTAAACTAGGCCTAAACAAATTGAGTTTATATCCCACCCCCTTCAAATTCGGTTCATATTTTGCCCCACTATGGCATTAGGCTGAAAAGGCTGAAATGTTTGTTTATGTACGTTTTGTTTCGCAATTAGGCCTATGTAAATGTCTTTTTATTTATAGATGGGATATATCTCATGTATCTAGACCTGTGAACGTGGCGTTGTATACAACGCCACGCGCCTCCCTCGGGTAAATACTAGCAAAGTCATTCCATCTTTTGATCCGTTACATATAACCATGTATGATTTTTCCCCTTATGTAAATCACTTACTTGCTAGGCTTCCTGTGAATTCACGCGAGTGTTGGATCTGTTATTGCCAAGATATTTTATGTAAAGTACGGCACAACTTTGTCACAAGGAACGTTTTCAAAATGATCAGAAAATCAAAGACAGGCATGAAAACTCTGGTACCCAGAGTTTTATTAAAGGTTGGTGCGGCGGTGCGGGAACTCCTGCGAGCGCGGAGCGCGAAGCCCTAGAATTTGGATTCTAGATGCTCTGTGGTGCAATCTGAGGCGATTCCAGGCCGGTTACCCTGATTTTTTTAGCAGAAGTTTTAAACATTTTAAGGAGAATTCCATTTCATTGGTTTACTATTGCTCTTACAAAGTTTATTATTTTCTCAAAGTTAACAACCACGGTATGGGGGTGTTATTTATTAGTTACTGGACATAATAGTTTTAGCCTGAACTATTTCCATTGCACTACGAAAGCTATACACAAAATGGCCACAAAAAGTGAATAAAACCTACCTTAATTATTGTCAATATATTTACATTCGATAATTCTTTAAAAAATAATGGAAAATTCAGGTCGTTCGTATCATTTGCACAACGCTAGTCAAGACGGGAAGCTGGCCAAAACTCCGAAGTGTGTGATGCACTGTGCATGTGTGGCCCGCGGCCAACAGACCCCGTTTAACGGTCGAAAATTTCGGGAAACACGCTGCATTGTTTTACTCCAATTACGAGTAGTGCGATCTCAAAATGAACTCTTGAAAACGGAAAATACATACACAGACAACCTAGATCAATTCTGTGAATTAACTTGCAAAAATGTTCTTTCTCCATCGGTGTTTTCTTGGCATTTTTACGATGTCGGATCCGACCAGTTGACAGTGCACATACATGTACATGTACTTGCAATGCAGAGCCATGCTAGCGCAGACGATCGCGTAGCCGTGCACAGACTAGTTACCGCATTTTCATCATGTCTTCTAAATTGGCGCGGCGGGAACCAGTCATCGCCGCATTGGGCTGGGTTTACGCACATGATTATAGTCACCGTGACATCGAATTGCGAAGTAGTTATATCACGAAGCGAATTTGTAAAAGTAACGGAGAATTCTTTTGAAAAAATAGGCCTCATAATCTACAACTGAAGTTCATTTCAATACAACATGCAATAAAAGTTAGCCTTGGCCCCGAAGTCTATGTTTAAAACTAAAACTAAAGATGATGCACGCCAATGCCTGCTGCAAATTCCCTAAACGTATACGCACGTCGCATGCTCAGGCTAGGCCTGCAGTCCAGCAGCTGTACACGTGTTTACGTATACGTACAGTACGTAGGTCGTGTAGCATTATGTGCATGGAAAAATGGTGCATCTGGTTACCAGACGATCCCCCGAATAATATGATGATAGAAGAGATCGGAATAGTCAGAACCAGACTTAACTGCATCGATCATAGAATGAGTTATGATCCGCGCGCATCTCAAACTTGGCCGAGACTAGGGTTCAGCGGGAAGTCATTCAATTTCATTCGAAAAAGAAGTGGTCATTCTTGTTTCTAAATTCTTTTAGTTGTTAATGAACACTGTAGAGTCAAAAAAATTAAACCTGGCGGCTGGATTTTAAAGCTTGGCGGGGACTTCTAAAAGTAAAACATGGCGGGCGCCGCAGAAAACATGGCGGGCGCCAGGTGTGTTTTACATGTTGGGAGAACCCTGCGGTACCCCGAGTTCCGCATGCGCAAAACGGTTAGAGTCCCACCAGTGGGTTCCCGACTAACAGCCTTACATAGCAGGCTGACCATAATACCATGTAAAATTCTGCTAAATCCATTTTGAAGGTCTGCCAAATCACCCAGTATATTTGCTGGTCCATTGTGCAATGATTTGTTTCAGGGATCTTTCAATAAATGAAGGTTTTTCAAACCAAATGTGCCATATTTCTCTAATCTTTTTCATTTTCCTTCATCTTCATAATTCTGCCGAAAAAAAATATTCTGCTGGATTTTCTGTACAACTCATTTTTGTATGCAAATATTCTGTCAAATGTAGCCGAAATTCGGCTAGAACGGTCACTCCATCGTAGTAACTGCGGATCACATTAGAGAGTTTTTATTATAGATTGAAGCGTGGCTATGTATATAGCCACGTTCACGGGTCTAGGACTGATATCAAGCTATGAATGTCTGCTTTTTATGAAGACAGTTGGTTTAATTTTGGAAAATTTACTTGAAAACTAGACCAAAAAATGGTGTATTTCGGCTGTACAACACATGTACTATACTTTGTGTTTTCGGTCATACAAAGAAAAAGTTTGTGAGGAAAATCCTTTCAATAGATTTACAATATTTTGCCACTTTTTATTTCACTACCAATACAGGAACCTGTTCAAGCCAGGTCTGATTCGATTCAAACATTGCACATGCATAGTCTGGGACGTGTTATTGATAAAAAAAATATCATAATGCGGAAAAGCCCTATTAGTGAGGTACATTAGTAACAAAAATGCTAAGGATCGTTACACAGTGGACAAAAGCACCATTTTTTCACCAAAGCATCTCCATCATGTATACCTTTTCGAAAAAAAGACGGACGCAAAAAATTGGATGATGGAAAGGGCATGTATGACGTCATTATGACGTCATCAGCTAATTATTACATGAAAAAATATAAATTAATAATAATCTTCAGAACTGCAAGCATCTCAACAACAAAATGTTGTGTTTAAAGTCAGTCACTTTTTTTTTCCGAGTTCGACTTCTTGCTGAAGTGAAGAACACAGGAGGAATACATCAGATTGTGGACAGATATTCCTGAAGCATGTTTACACAATAGACATGTTTTGTGTACATGAGCATGAATGTACAAATGTGTAGTTTGCCTGTTCACAAGGCAAGGCTTCTTTTCTGTTTGATTTTTGTTGGTGGAATTCTTTCGATAGTCAGCTACTAGGTCATACTGAGCAGCAGATCACCCATGATATTAATGATGGCTCTAATAATATTATAATTGCAACCTATAGGCAGAGCTAGAGGCGTGGGGGGGGGAGGTTAAAAGGGGTATATCCCCCCCCCCCCCCCCATAGACTGCCCTTTTCCATTGAAGTGCCCTTTTTCACAAGTGTTTCAACGATGAATTTAAGGGTTTCTTGACTTGTTTTTTGTGTGAGCTTTTGAGCCCGTGAATTTCGCAATAACGCATGCGCTTTACATCCATGACATACAATGATAAGCATAGCACGCGCGCAGCAGCCATTTTTTGTCGGCGCGGCATGGTCGGCATGGTCGGTATTGTTCGACATTAGTCCGTGGGACGTACGAGGCCTTTTTTTCGCTCACCACGCGGTCTGGTTCGCCGAATTTTATAAAACTTCACAGACATGTAGATCATGGTGTAGGCCTACCATATCGAAAAAACTTTGTTCCCCGATTCACACTTTGTTTGGGAATGAGAAAATCTGGCATAAAAACGTCGAAAATACATGAGTGTGATTTTTGAGTGGTTTTGTAATAAGACGCTTCAACTTATCTGATATACATGCATATAATCCCTTTATAAAATTCTGCTGAAAAGGGTGAAAAGTCTGTTAAAAAAATTCATTTATGGATTTTCGACAAATTCCCCCCCCCCCAAAAAAAAAAGGGGGGGGGGGCAAAACTGAGAGATGTTACCCTGAGATTCTTTTTTGCTAGGATGTAGCCTCAATCCTGCAAAATCCTCCAATTGGCCTCATGGAAAAATTGCATAGCCTCAATCCTGCAAATTCCTCTGTTATTTCTTGAATATGGTCCATGGAGGTGTGACCATGCACTGCCTGAATCCTGCAAAATCCTCCGGCTATGACTGTCAATAGGCTGAGGCAGAGGCAGTGACATCCTGGAGCAGTGCGGAGCATGCAGAGGATGTCAAGTATAATCAAGGACTCAATTTATGCACGGCTGAGCATAAACAACACAAGGTCCGGCCCAAGACCTTGACACAGTGCGTACTCCGAAATCAGCGATGCACTTTTGCCATGTAACCTCAATCCGGAAAATCCCTCCAATTTGCAAAAAGGATTTTGGAGGATTCAGGGTGTTTAGGGTTGATGTTCAGATTGTTAAGTGATGAACTCGTCTATATCAAAAATATATCAAATTAAAGAGGGAAAAAAATCAAACATTCTGAAAAAAAAACCCAGTCCGTTGCACGGTTGAAAGATTACAGATTTTTGAATATTTTTTTTGTTATAGGCCTTCTGCTGCTGTGCAAGTGTGGCACTGTCAGTAAAATAAAACTAAGTCCCAAGCAATTTTTGTGTACTTTGTGTCATTTTTAATGCTTCGTATCTCCAAAACTTGTCATGAATAAATCAGTTTGATATAATTATTGCCATGGCAACGCAAAAGTCCAAAAGAGACTTTTGTCTACTTAGTGTTTTATTCAATATCATATCCGGAAGGCAGTTTTGAATGGGATTGAACTAGAAATTGAAACGTAAAAATACAAATGGCAAATTGTATTTGGAATCGTGATAACAAATTATCAAAATGAGAGAAAAATAATAATTTATGTAGAAAAAGAATTCCGTGGAAAAATCAGAAGCAACAACAAATCCCTGCTCTCTGTTTTGTCCCTCCTAAAAGGCCCAATTTATTAATAAAAACATGCCAAACCATGTCTGACGAAATCTTCAAACATCTACTGGTAACCCTTGTTTTGCTGGAATGCCATGGTTAACTGAAATATTTTTTTTAATTATCTGTATTTAAATTATGCTGTTCCAAAAAAATAAAAAACGAGACTCGGTCAGTGGCGGTCAGTTAATGGTACATTGTAAATATGCAGATATGTAAATATGCAGATATGTAAATATGCAAATGGAGGCCAATTTTTTCATGTTTGTTAGGAAGAATATTGTCACACTTCCCATTATGCCCATAACCATGGTAACAGACTTTTGGTGTCAAGATCCTTCTTTCCAAATGAAAATACATCTTAAACTGTATACAAAACCTAATTAGAAAAGCAATTTTATTTGTGTGTACTTTCTTCCCACCTCAGAAGGCAGAATGTCGTACGGTGATCAAGACAGCCAGGTGTTCGTGGGCAACTTGTCCTATGGGACGGTGGCAGAGGACCTCCAGGATCTCTTCGGCCGGTATGGCTCAGTGACCGGATGTAAGAATTTCATGTAGAACCCGAGTTCATTTTCCACAGTGTGTAAGCTGTGTTTAACCCCAACACCCCAGGCATTTTTGCTAGGATGCAACCTTAATCCTGCAAAACGTTCCAACTGCCTCCATGTAAAACTTGCATACAGCCTCAATCCTGCAACATTCTGCTTTATCCTAGGAGGGGTGACCACTGCCTCAATCCTGCAAAATCCTCCAGCATTCACTGTCGTTATGTTGAGGCAGAGCCAGTGACATCCTGGAGCAGTGTTGAGGATTTCAAGTCCAATCTAGGCCTAAATTCGTGCACAGCTGAGCATAAAAAACACAAGGTCCGGCCCAAGATCTAGACACAGTTCGTCTTCCAAAACCAGCTTCACATTTTTGCCATATAACCGCAAAATCAGTAACTAGTATTGAATGAGAAAAACAGGCAGTCTTGGCAGATATTGACCCATCAACAGCATTGGCTGAATTTCTGCTCTCAATGATGTCACGACTTCTAAAGGAGGCTCTGATTGGCTGGGGCGTGGGGTCGCATACAATTTACAATTGGTCAATCGCTCTGCCATCGGTTGATAAACAGTACACAAATATTCAGTGGCTCAGAGTGAAATGAGAGGCATGTTATCGCAGGGTAAAATCTGGACCTTTCCGTTTCAGCAGGAATAGCTGGCGTTACCGAACTGTTCCCAGTGGGAACAACGCATACCAATTGGAATAGGCGATGTTTCTTATTGGAACGTTCAAAGCGTGCCGACTTTTGAGACGTTCAGCGGCATTGCGATGGAACGTTGCATTCCCACAACTTGTATTTGCACCCCTTGTCTCCTGAATCCTGGCTAAAACACTGTGTGGCTCTTTGTTCTTTCACCTGCAGGTACCATTATCACGGATAGAGAAACTGGTCGTAGTCGTGGCTTTGGTTTTGTGACATTTGAGAACAAAAATGAGGCTCAGAACGCTATTTCTGACCTAGATGGTCAAGTAAGTATTTCAACGACTCGCAGAGGGATATGGGCAAATTGCATGCCTGTAAACTGTGGACAGTCATTGTGATCTAATATGAGAGGAACATTTTGCTCAAAATGTTACGACGTTTTCTGCCCCGTGTCTTGAAACCAGGGATAGCCTCGAAATTCATACTTTGGTTTGGGGAGAGGATTTCAATAAACGGCATATTTCATAATCAATGAAGTATAAAGGATACTGTTGACTGTATGCTACAACTACATGTATATTCTTCCAGATTCAATGTAAATGTCCACATTGGCTTGATACATTTCTTTTGTGTCCCAAAACAGCCAGTCATCTCTTGAACCCAGTTTGTTGAGATCCATGGTCTCGGTACTTATAAAAAGATTGTAATATTTTGGTATGGTTTAACTTTCAACTTGCAGGAGTTTCATGGAAGAACTATCAGGGTTAAAATGGCTACGCAGAGACGTGATGGTGGTGGCGGCGGCGGCGGCGGCGGTGGCGGCGGTGGCGGTGGTGGTTATCGTCCCCGTGGTGGGCGTGGTGGAGGTGGAGCTGGTGGTGGCTACAGACAGGGAGGTTATGGCGGCTACGGTGGTTATTAGCTGACCGCATCTCAGCGACATCAAGAAAGGTAAATCAAGAATGTTATAGTTAAGTCCATCACAAGTCCACACAGGTCCTCGCGAGCCAGTTCCAAGTTGAGTCACAAGCTGTTCTCGAGCCAGTCCCAAGTTGAGTCACAAGCTGTTCTCGAGCCAGTCCCAAGTTGAGTCACAAGCTGTTCTCGAGCCAGTTCCAAGTTGAGTCACAAGCTGTTCTCGAGCCAGTCCCAAGTTGAGTCACAAGCTGTTCTCGAGCCAGTCCCAAGTTGAGTCACAAGCTGTTCTCGAGCCAGTCCCAAGTTGAGTCACAAGCTGTTCTCGAGTCAGTCCCAAGTTGAGTCACAAGCTGTTCTCGGGCCAGTCCCAAGTTGAGTCACAAGCTGTTCTCGAGCCAGTCCCAAGTTGAGTCACAAGCTGTTCTCGAGCCAGTTCCAAGTTGAGTCACAAGCTGTTCTCGAGCCAGTCCCAAGTTGAGTCACAAGCTGTTCTCGAGCCAGTCCCAAGTTGAGTCACAAGCTGTTCTCGAGCCAGTCCCAAGTTGAGTCACAAGCTGTTCTCGAGCCAGTTCCAAGTTGAGTCACAAGCTGTTCTCGAGCCAGTCCCAAGTTGAGTCACAAGCTGTTCTCGAGCCAGTTCCAAGTTGAGTCACAAGCTGTTCTCGAGCCAGTCCCAAGTTGAGTCACAAGCTGTTCTCGAGCCAGTTCCAAGTTGAGTCACAAGCTGTTCTCGAGCCAGTTCCAAGTTGAGGCACAAGCTGTTCTCGAGCCAGTTCCAAGTTGAGTCACAAGCTGTTCTCGAGCCAGTCCCAAGTTGAGTCACAAGCTGTTCTCGAGCCAGTTCCAAGTTGAGTCACAAGCTGTTCTCGAGCCAGTCCCAAGTTGAGTCACAAGCTGTTCTCGAGCCAGTCCCAAGTTGAGTCACAAGCTGTTCTCGAGCCAGTCCCAAGTTGAGTCACAAGCTGTTCTCCACTGCAGGCGAATAAGAATGCGGAACAGATAAATGCAAGGGCGGACGTTGTATCTGTCTCGCCACAAGGTAGGGCAGGCCAAAATATGTGTCCAATATGGTGTGCCAATAAACCAAGTCACCTTTGACATAATTGCCTGTCGATTGTTGACGGGTAAATGCGGTTACCCAAGCTTCTGCCTCATTTCCCCCCAGTTTGTACCATGTAGGGCTGTCCTGAATATATGGAATACTCGAATATTTGCAGTTCATTGTTCCCATCCTTTTATCAGGTTAAAAAAACCTTTTACACTGAAAGGGAAAATACAACATTTGCAAACATCGAAAAATAAAACTACCAAGTTGTTACGAAATACCTTACTAGGATGTTGGTAAAAGACAGTCTGAAGCATCCTGTAAAATAATGGCACCTGGTGTCAAGTCATTTTCAAGAAAAATGGTACTTATGTCACATTTCCAACGGTGGTCGGCCGACCACCGTTGGAAAAACCTTATTTTTTTTTTTAACTACTGCTCCAAATTTTAGTAGGGGGGCCAATGTACAGATTTGGGTTCCCGTTGAAATTTCATGTTAATTTATGGCAACCATTATAAATGTAATCTTATGAGTCCTGAGAACAAGAAAATTGATGTTGCCATTTTTTTCATTGACCTTTAGTGACCTTGACCTGAGGTCAAAGTTCATGGGTCATTTTTACCTAGAATTTGCCTTCCGGAAGGGTTTGCGAAGATTTTCGAGGCAAGTGAGCACATATTAAATTTGGTTGAGAGTTTCTCCATTATAATAAATGTTATTATTAATGTATTTATGGGTTTTGCTGAAGAAAACTTGGGAAAATGGCATTTTTACCCGAAAAGGCCAGGTGGTTTTGACAATTTCACACAGATTCCGCCCCCCCCCCCGACCTTGACCATCGAGAGATGCAAAATAATGAAACTCGGTACATGCATAGAACAACTTAACATAACCATACCCAAGAAATTTCATGACTACGGCTCAAAGGGTTTTAGAATTATGGCTAATTAATTATTCAGGAGCACGTATGGTAATTCAAATGTGTACACAGATGAATATGTGTTTGCTGTAAGATCTAAGAGTGTATACATGTACATGTATGTAATGTTCCAGCAAAAGGTGTCATGTTAATAAATAGTCGAAAATATGTTGATATTTTACTGGAGAATTCAGCTGCTTATACTCAACACACTAACAGGACTTCAAAAACGCATGCAGAGCAGTTTACTTAGTATAAAAAGCATTATTAAAAACCCCAAAGGGGAAAATGGATACTTAATCATTACTTAAGCTCCTATTTCTAGCACCATATTGTGTGCATTTTAACCCGTTTGGGGGTTTATTTTGGAAAATAAGATTAAGGTATAAGAAAATGGTCAGAAAAAATGGCAACATCAATTTTTTGTAAGTTAAAACATCCAAGAAGATGGTCCAACCAATTGCCAAAAATTAACATTTCATGCCAACGGAAGTACATTGGCCCCCCTACTATTTACCAATTTTTTTTCAGTCCAAATTTTGTTTGCTATTGGCTACATATGTTCATGAACGGGTGCAGGCCAGCGAGACTGGTTCCCTTACCTTACAATTTTCCGGCATTTTGGATCCCGTTCATCTTTAGTGGAGTCAAGGAACCAGACTACTTGAACATTTTTGTCTATTTCTTGGTCTTTCCAGCATTTTTGAACACAAAACTTCAAACATGTCAGTGTAACAATATTTGATCTATTATACTAACCCCTCAAATAGTTCATTTCTGAAATTTACAGCAAAAGCCAATGATGTACATTCCCTTTAAAAGATACTGCAAAACTCTCCAGTGTTCCATTTCAATCAACACACCAATTTTAACTGGCACACTCTTTGTGCAACTTTTTTTACTGGCTGCTTCACATGAGGATATTTCTGTATTTCCCAACATAACCACATCCTACGTTGTTTCATTTTTTTTACTCTCCAGGAGTGATGAGCACAGACGGTACTTGCTTTGCAGTCTCATCAAGCGGAACTACAAATTTCGCCTCCAGTTCTTGACTCTTAAAAACAAGTAGGAGATTGTCAAAGACAAGATGTGATATGATTGTAATAGTAGAAACCACTAATCAGTGAATGGTTGCCTGTGAGTTATTTTCGTGTAGTTATTTTCGTGTAGTTTTAAAACCGCTGGGGGGCTGGAACATTTCATGGGGGGGGGGGGGGGACGTCATGTAGATCAATGATAATTTTTTTAGAAACTCAAAATCTCAGTGGGGGGGGGGCGACTGGGGGGGGGGACAAGGTTTCATGGGGGGTCTCGATTTAGGGACAGATATATCATTAAAAAGAAATTCATATTTTGGCCAATTTTAATGAAAAACCCCTGCCCCCCTCTTTTTCGGATAAATCGAGAATTTGTTGAGAAAGACAAGAATTTTTTGGAAACATTTTTTTGCCCCCCGTTAGAAAAAGTCCTGGCGACGACCATGGAGGTGGGGGACCCCCCCCCCCCCAATCCCCCAGATCAGGGGTAATCTTGAGAGATAGATTTTCAAATTGAGTTGATAATTTTCTAGCATTACTTAAATCGAGAATTTGTTGAGAAATACAAGAATTTTTGGGGAAATGTTTTTTGGCCCCCCTCTAGAAAAAGTCCTGGCTACGCCCATGGAGGTGGGGAACCCCTCCCCCAGATCCGCGCCTGAACCTCTTCGATCGTTTTGCGCAACACATGTTCGAGTAGTGTGCAATGACATCGGGGATGACCCTGCATTTCTTCAGAAGCTTTCGGCAGCAGCACGTGCCTTCCGCTGCCGTCTCCTGCAAGGCTAACCCCTTGCAATTTTTGTCAATTTTGGTCAAAAAATGAAATTGCTCTAAACTTTCCGGAAAGATTCCTTAGGGACCCTCGAACAAACTCCAACTCGATTCAGGGACAGATATATCATTAAAAAGAAATTCATATTTTAACCTAATTTTATGAAAAATGTAAGGCTAACCCCTTGCAATTTTGTCTATTTTGGTCCAAAAATGAAAATGCTCCAAACTTCATGGAAAGACTGTTAAGGAACCCTCGAACACATTCCCACTCGATTTAGGGAAAGATATATCATTAAAAAGAAATTTATATTTTAGCCAATTTGTATGAACTGTAAGGCTAACCTTTTCAATTTTTGACAATTTTTTTTTCAAAAAATGAAGATGTTCCAAACGTCCTGGAAAAACTCCTAAGGTCCCCTGGAACACATTCCCACTCGATTTAGAGACAGATATATCATTTAAAAGAAATTAATATTTTAGCAAAATTTTATGAAAAATGTAAGCCTAACCCCTTGCAATTGATGTCAATTTTGGTCAAAAAATGAAATTGCTCCAAACTTGCTGGAAGGACTCCTAAGGGACACTGGAACGCATTCCCACTCGATTTAGGGACATATATATTATTAAAAAGAAATTCATATTTTAGCCAAATTTTATGAAAAAATGTAAGGCTAACCCCTTGCTATTTTAATTTTGGTCCAAAAATGAAAATGCTCCAAACTTCCTGGAAAGACTCTTAAAAGACCCTGGAACACATTCCAACTCAATTTAGGGACAGATATATCATTAAAAAGAAATTCATATTTTAGCCTAATTTTATGAAAAATGTAAGGCTAACCCCTTGCAATTTTGTCTATTTTGGTCCAAAAATGAAAATGCTCCAAACTTCATGGAAAGACTGTTAAGGAACCCTCGAACACATTCCCACTCGATTTAGGGAAAGATATATCATTAAAAAGAAATTTATATTTTAGCCAATTTGTATGAACTGTAAGGCTAACCTTTTCAATTTTTGACAATTTTTTTTTCAAAAAATGAAGATGTTCCAAACGTCCTGGAAAAACTCCTAAGGTCCCCTGGAACACATTCCCACTCGATTTAGAGACAGATATATCATTTAAAAGAAATTAATATTTCAGCAAAATTTTATGAAAAATGTAAGCCTAACCCCTTGCAATTGATGTCAATTTTGGTCAAAAAATGAAATTGCTCCAAACTTCCTGGAAGGACTCCTAAGGGACCCTGGAACG